ATGTGTGTCAACTTGGAGAGTATTGCCATCTTGATATTAAGTCTTTCAATCCATGCATATGTAATGAGTTTTTATTTGTTTAGATCTTCCTAAATTTCATAATAAAATGCTCTCCTTTGTCTCTGATAACAATTTTATTATAAAATCTATTCTGTATGATATTAGTATAACCATTTCTGGTCTCTCAGATATTTTTTTGATGGTATATCTTTTTCCAACCTTTTTCTTTAAACCTATCTGTGCTCTAAAGAAAAATATTGAACTTAAAAACTTAAATTCCTCTAAGTATATTTTCATTGCAGGTGGGTGTTAAAATGTAGCAAATAGTGTTTTTAAATTCATTTACCACATTTAATCAACATAAAAAATAAAAGGTATTCTTCCTTTCCCCAACTCTTAATCAGTCCTTGATTTAAGTTATAAGTATGTATTCTACAAGATCAGATCTGGAGTCACTTACCTTCTAAAGGTTTACAAATCTGTTTAATGTCAAACCAGCAGGGAAAAGAAATTCCTCAGCAAGGAATTGCTCAGAAAGTACTGTACCATGTCTCCAAATTCCTGAGAATCAAGTTGGAAAACTGAAAGCAATCGAAAGCACTATAAGGTAAGTTATGTTCACTTTGTGACAAGCCATTTCCTAAATCTAATGAACAAAGTTTGGAGGACACCTATGTACAGCTAGCTGGTTATCTTATTCTCTAGTAAAGAACTGTCCAATAAAAATATGTGACTCACAAATGTAAATTACATATGTAATTTTAAAGTTTCTAGTAGATATATTTTAAAAAGTAAAAAATAGGCAAAATTGTTAATATAGTTAATTATAGTTTATTAATAAATATAATTAACATATTTTATTTAAGCTAATATATTATCATTTCTACATATGATCAATGTTAAATTGTTAGTTATTCTTAATTTACTAAGTCTTTGAAATTTAGTATTTTAATTAAAAGCACATCTTAATTCGATAGAAAATCACATTTCAAGTGATTAAGAGCCATAAAGACTAGTAGTTACTATATTGGACAATGCAGCTATGGCATTTAATGTTGAAAATGGCCTTATAATGCTCTATGATGATCATAGCAAACTGAATTTTTTTCTTAACCACAATTATTATGCATTGCCATAACAAGACTACTTATGTAATAGGATTATAAAAACATAAGGATGGCTGGTATGGCTCACCAGTTTAGTGTGAAACTATGAACTAGGAGATCATGGTTTGATTCCCAGTCATGGCACATGTCTGGGTTGCAGGCTAGATCCCCAGTGGAGGGCATGCAAGGGGCAGCCGATCAATGATTCTCTCTCATCATTGATGTTTCCCTCTCTCTCTCCCCCACTTCCTTCCTCTCTGAAATAAATTTTAAAAAATATTTTTAAAAACTAAAAAACACATGTAATAACCTAACAGGTAGAGGTGCAATCAGAATTAAATGTATAAGTTTTAAAGGTTTCAATCTGCATTAGTAATGATGGCTAACATTTAAGTATTTACTCTGTACCAGGCACTATGCCAAGTATTTTAACATATGATGAAAGGCACTTCTATCTCCACTTCATAGAAGAGAAACATTGATCAGTTGTACACACACCACACATATACACACACACATACATGCATTGCAACCAGGGATCAAACCCATCATTTGGGCATGTGCCCTGACCAGGGATGGAACCCATGGCCCTTCTGTGCATGGGATGATACTCCAACAGAACCACACTGAACCACACTGGCCAGGGCTGTAGTAGTTCATTTATATTATCTAAAGTGACCCTCATAAGTTGTGACATAGAGAGCACATGTGCTTACAACTATCAGGACTAGTTGTAGTTCTTTTAGAGTCCTGGGGCAACTTTTAACAAATTACAGATTGTTCATTTGGTAGAATCTTCTTTTATTTACAGGCAGCACCAAATAAGCCAGAAATATTAAGATACAGCGTTATTAAGGCAAGACCAAATTCTTCCCCAGTTGAGAGAAGCTTTCACAGAGGTTTTATAAGCCTAACTTTTCTGGCCACCTCCCATGTCTAGGACACTCCCTTCAACATGGAAGTCCATACAACCAAGAAGAGTAGCTGGAGATGTCGCATGTTCTCTTTCTAAGGATTTAGGACCAAGCTGTGCAGAGAATTTTGACAAACATCAAAAATCCTAAGTTACCTGGGTTTCATAAAACAGTTGAAACTTCCAGTCTTTCATTTTCCCAACCTCACCCTTTTTCACAAGGGGATCTAAATGCTCTAAGCAAATATTCTCCAGATCTTAACAGGGGTCGTGTCAGGTCTAATAAGCTAACAGGAAAGGCATCAGGAGCCAGCCATTCACAGTTACTCAGCCCAAAGCAGTGGCAGCTAATCAGGAGTAAGCAAGACAAATTTTCTACTCTTCCATTTGATTTTCAAGTATAATGTATTGTTAGGACATTTGTGATGAATAACACCATATCTTTATTATTATTACACTTTATAGGTGAGAAATTGAGGCTTAGAGATATTATGTGCTCACCCAAGTTCACATAACTACTTAGAAATTAAAGACCAAAATCCACTTGAGTTCACCGTTCATTACCTTTGATCATCTATTCTTGGGAAATAAGCTCCCTATTTTGAAATCTATAGACTTATGTTGGAATTTCTATTATTTAACAATTATTGAACAAATATATGTACTCTCCAGAGTCACTGCCAATAAAAACACTTACCACAGCAGGTGTTAAAAAATAACTGAAGATCATACTCTTGAGTAAGCCTCTAGACAATTTATCTTATTTCACTGGTAACCTAGTAATTAAAAATGGTTTATAGTATGTGATTCCCAAAATCTTAATAACGATAGGTGAGGAAAAAGCCTCCTTAGGATCCAGACTTTACCACTGCTGACAAGACAAAAAAACAAACAAACAAAAAAACCTACTTCAAATTAATATACATAATGATCTATCTTTGAAGAAATAATGTATTATAAAAATGACAAATTGTCACATCTAAGAAACTTCAATTCTACAAAGATAGATCTGTAAACCTTTCATAGAGAAGCTTATCATTGTCACAGCTAAAACTTTCTGAGGGAGTTTTCTCCACAAATCAATTAGAATCCTTTAAAATACCTTGGCTGACAATCACAATTGCATGGGGATCCCAGGGCCTCTGCCCAGAGATTCTGGACTCAGCGGCCCAGATTCTAATGTACAGCCAAGGTTTTAAATTCGCCAAAAGGCAAATGTTTTTGTTTGGTTTGGTTTTTTTTTAAATTATTTTTTAATTGATTTTAGAAAGGAAGGGAGATGGAAAGATAGAAACATCAATGATAAGAGAGAATCACTGATTGGCTGCCTCCTTCACTCCCCCTTCTGGGGCTGGAGCCCACAACCCTGGCATGTGCCCTTGACCAGAGTCAAACTCTGGATGCTCTTCCCTCTGCAAGCCGCAGCTCTTTATCCATCCCCGGAGCCAAACCGGTTAGGGCAAGCAAGGCAAATGTTTTAAGTCGACTTCCAAAAGAGCAGAACTTCAGCAGAATAGTCAACAGGAAATTCAATTTCCTAAATTAAATACTATGGACTGCCAGAGGTGGAGTACTCTCTACCTCAACCAATGTGTAATCCCGTTAGAAACGTGGTGCCCCTTTTGAAGCAAAAATGAATTGTGTTCTTTTTTCCACTACAATGCAGTGGGCAGAGTAGGAGCTCAACAGAGGTGCCCTTTGGTTTCAACATTGCTCTCTCAGCCTTTGGCAGTTCCTGTAGTAAAGGAAGATTGGATGTGTTATCTATGTACTAGAGGCCAGTGCATGAAATTCACATGCAAAAGTAGGCCTGCCTTCCCTCTGTCACCTGAGATTTGAACTTCCCTCTGGCCACTGGCCGGCACCTGGGACCCCGGGCTTCCCTTGTAGCCCCAGTTTCATCCTTTCTAATTTTTACTAATTAGTCTGGTCTAATTAGCATATTATGCTCTTATTATTATTGATTAGTGTGCTGCCACTTAAATAAGGTCTCTGAGCCCCCAGTACCTGTGGGGACCAAATACACACGAGAGATCAACCCTACAAACGAGTGCTGCTCAACTTCTCAAAACCAAAGGGCAGGACCCCCCAAACCCAGGATTGAAGGAAATAGTCAGGGACCCTGGGGTGGGGAGGAGCGGAGGCGTGGGTGTTACAGAGCCTGCCAGGACAGCCTGTGGCCGGGAAGAGGCCTGGCGGGAGAGCCCAGAGCTGAGGGACCCCTCTTCCGGGCCAGCCCAGGGCGTGAGTCACCGGGCGCGCAGGCTGCGTCAAGGGGTGGCCAGAGGGTCTGACAGATGGAGGGTCGGTCGGGGGAGAACGGATGTTGTGGAACTTAGTGGAAAATGGGTTTCAAAAGAGCTCTCTCCCTAGCGCGTCGGGGTTTGGGATCGCAGGAGCCAAGGGCGCAGGAGCTGGGGGAGCTCCTGGGGCCGCGAGGATGGGGCCAGCCAGCCGGCCGCGCCGAAATCTCCCGCGCTCTGAGCTGGCCCCTCCTCCAGGCCGGGCCTCGAGCCCCCTCGCCGCGGCCAGGCCCGCCAGCCGGCTCCTCCCGCCTCCCCCGCGATGCCGCCGCCGGGGCCCCAGTTCAGTGGCTGAGTCCCGGCCAGCCTGACCCAGTCCTAACCCAGCGGCACGCCACGCGCCGCCAGTGACGGCACCGCAGGGTGCGTGGCCAATCGGCGTAGCTCCCGAGGAGGCGGCTTCGGCCCCGCCCCCTTCGCCTGGGGCCAATGAGGCGCCGACGCCGGCGGCCGCGGCGGGGTGAGGGGTCGCGAGGCCCCGCCCCATCCTCCCCTTTCCCCTTGGCCCCGCCCCTTCCCGCCCGGCCCAGCTAGTCCCGCGCGCACAGCTGGTGCCGGTCCCCGCGCTGGGCCCGCCCCCCGCCCCTCCCGCCGGCCCGCCAGCGCGCCTCACGGCTCCTGTCTCCCCTCCCTCCTTCTCTCTCTCTCTCTCTCTCTCTCTCTCTCACGCCTAGCGCAATGGCGGCGGCCGCGGCGGAGCAGCAACAGTTCTACCTGCTCCTGGGAAACCTGCTCAGCCCCGACAATGTGGTCCGGAAACAAGCAGAGGTAAGCGGGCTCGTCGCCCAGACGCCTCGCCCCGGCCGGCGCGCCGATCCCGCCCGCGACACCGCCACACCGGGCCTCGGCCGCTCAGCCGCGGCGGCGGCGCAGGCCGGGCCGGCGGGCGGCGGCGGCGGCAGCTCAGCCCACGTGTGAGGCGGCGCACGGCCCCCCCGGCGCTGCCCGGGGCCCTCCCGACTCTTGCAGCCGCGGGGCCCGGCGCCAGTTTCCTCCCGCCGCCGCCCCTCGCACACACGTGCGGCCGCTCCTGACATCCTGCCCCCGCCCAGACGGGGAAGCCGGGCGGCGGGGTGGGCTGTGGGGTGTGGGGCGGACTCCGGGGTTCCCCTCGCCCCTTTCCCGCTTTCTCCTAGTGGGAGCCTCCCTCGCTCTTCTCCGTGGTATCCACCCAAGCCCGACCTTTTTTTTTTTTTTTTTTTTTTTGGTCTCCCAAACCCTGGCCGCCACCTGACCCATCACCTCTGCTTCTTTCTCTGCTGCCCCCCCCCCCCTCTCTAAGCTACCATCTGCCCCTCTAGTCCCAACCTCTGCTTTTGAAGTGTCTGTCTAGCCCTTTTGCCTTCTTTCCACTTATCCCCACCTAGCCCTCTTTCCCTTCTCGAGTTCCTAATAGCAGAAGCTGGATGTCCCACCTCCTTCCCAAGGTCTTGTGAAGTTACCTTTTAGGGTTTCTTCCTAAGCAGCTTCCACCTTACTTTGCTCTTCCTTTCCGGAGAAGTCTTTGATCTCTTAGAGATTTGTGGTCTCGTAACGTTAAATGGGATGTCCTGGGACTCCCGTTGTTTCACCGGGCCAGTGCCATATGTTGAAGTCTTGCATTTTCATTAAATCTAACCGGAGAATCATTTTTTTTTTTTTTAACTACCTCCAACTCCTGGCCTCCGATATGTGGAGCTGTGATAACAGTTTCAAAAGACAGTCTTGCGAGTTCATTTGCGAAGTAGCAATAAGACACCTTTGGTTTTATATAAGACTCGTGGCATGCTGTCAGTTGTTGAGACTTGAAGGGAAGGGCAGAAACTTTCTTTTAAGTGCATTATCAGGGGCTATCTTCAAACGTGGTGATATAACGGAGTTCTTTGCCACCTTGTGATGGAAGATTTCGATGATGCAATGAAGGATGTTCATTCAGCCAGATCTTTTTACAGAGTAAATCAACATTTATGTTACATATAGCTAATGAAATCAGGGGACAGGTCCTGTGGACTCACAAGATTTATAGTTGTCCTTAAAATCACTGTTGTTAATAGATTTTTAATAGGTTTAACAATGCTGGTTACACTTAGTGGATTTTAAATGTGTATGTGTGTTTAATTGATGAGAGAGAGAGAGAGAGAGAGAGAGAGAGAGAGAGAGAGAGAGAGAGAGAGAGAGAGAGAGAGAAACTAAAGTGATAAGAGTGAATCATCAATCAGTTGCCTCTTGCTAACCCCCAACTGGGGATTAAGCCTGCAACCCTGGCTTGTGCCCTGACCACAGCAATCTAACCTCACCCTCCTGGTTCCTAGGACGATGCTCAAACACTGAGTGACACCAGCCAGGCCACTTAGTGCTTTTATAATTAGCAAAGTAGATACACTGAAAGTTCAGTTCTTTAAACAACTACTTTAAGCAACTACTAACTTTATCCTGATGACTGTTGATTTATTTATTATACATTTGAATACCTGTTCAGGGTAAAATTTCAAGTGGTGCAAATAGTTTCTTCTCATTCTTTAAAGGGAACCACTTTTAAGTGTCCCGTGAATCACCCCTGAAAGAGCTTTTTATCAGTATATATATATATATATATATATATATATATATATTCATTTTTGCATGAATGGGTGTTTAATACACATTATTGTGCAGCTTGACTATTTCACTCAGTGTATTTCACATTGTCACATAAGGGATTTTGTTAAAGCAGCTGTGAGGAATTCCATCCTATGGCTGTATTATGTATGCAACCAGTCCTCTTGAATGAGCATTGAGATTTCCAGTCTCCTGCTCTTGAAAACAGTGCTGTATGTAGAAGTAAATGTATCCCTATTTTGTTTCAACTTTGCCAGGTTTATTTGTAGAATACTTAAAAATATTTGTCCATAAAAGTAATATGCATTTATTAGTTGCATCAACTTGTACTCTTGTGACGATGCCTGTTAAAACATTGTAATGCTCTCTGCTAACTCTAGAAGTAATTTTTCACAGAAATAAGTTCTTAATCCCAACCCATAATAGAAATTTCCATGTGTTGCAAAGCAGAACAGCATTGTAATTAGTAAGTTAATTTAATTCTGCCTCTTCCTTCTAGTTGCTTAAGTCTCTATTGTCAAGCTTAGCAGGGAATCTCTCTTCTGTAGAACAAAAATATGTGTCTGGTTCAGCTTGAATTCCAATTGGTGTCTGTTGTAAATTTTTTATCACTTCCATCACTTTGGGGATAGTTAGCAGCACTCAGTAAATTTTCTCATATAGAAAATTTATGGAAAGTAAGTACTGTTATTCTTAGTCTCTTTATTCCTAGTAAAAACATTCAAATAATATATTTTTACTTTTTTAGTATATGCGAAATATTATAATACAGGATTTTCTTAATTTGACACAGAAAAAAGTGTTAGAGGGGCGGTTTCTTGGCACCGTATAACTTTGTAATATGCTAATTTGTAACAAAAGCAAAATATTATTTGAAAAAAGAAATAACCTGCACATAATGATACCCAATATCCTCTTTTTTGCATTATAAAATGAGCTCTTTATCACAGCCTGATATAACAAATACTTTTTTTTTTTAACTAAGGGCTTAGCCAAGGCTCAGGAAATATCTTTGTAATTTACTCAATCAAAATAAAAATACTTAGTTGACACATAAATACCAAACTGTTGACTAAGGTGACTTTTTTTATTTTCAAATAGGAAGTTAAGTACAGTAAAAGATTCTTTTATTGTGATTATTTAAATAATTGAAGAACTTCAGAACTTTTAAAAGTTTAAGCTTTCATTGTATAAATAGTTTGTTAGGCTCTATATCTTCTATTTAAAAATCTTCAAGGATTTTTCTCTTTAACTTTACAAAAATATGTTTACACTATTTGAAGAAATGATTTAAATGTCCTTGTTTCAAAATATAATTAACATGAATGAACAATTGAATAAATAATTGACAGGTACTCCAGAGTTAAATATCCAGGATGACTTTTTGTTGTTATCAATCCTCATCCAATGATATTTTTTCCATTGATTTTTACTGAGATTGGAGGGGATTGAGGGGAGAGAGAAAAACATCCATGTGAAAAGAGATACATCAATTGGTTGCCTCTCACGTGCCAAAACTGGTATTGAGTTTGCCATCAAGATATGTGCCCTTGACCAGAATTGAACCCAGGATCCTTCAGTCCACACTGACATTCATTGAATTTGCCTGGGCTAGTGCTAGGAATAGTTCTAGAAGTTTTCTTTATATTTGCTTAGAAATATTCTTCATACTCTATTGTGCTAGGTTTTAGGAATAGAGAGGAAAAGATACCATACATGCCTTTGTGGGGCTCAGTCTGTTTAGACTTAAGAAAATTTTTATTTGTTTGTTTACTTATTTGTTTACTAGGGGATTGGGCCTAAGCCAGCAGTCAGACATCCCTCTTGTAGTCTAGGGCTCTCATAGTCCAGGACCTCTTGCTCGCTTCTTACCGCCTGCCTGCAGTGGAGACAGGAGAGGCTCCCCCCACCACCGCTGCACTCGCCAGCCATGAGCCTGGCTTCTGGCTGAGCAGCACTCCCCCTGTGTCCTACTTTGAGTGTCTGCCCCTTTGTGATCAGTGCATGTCATAGCAACTAGTTGTTCTGCCATTCAGTCAGTTTGCATATTAACCTTTTATTATATAGGATTTTTAAATATTTTTTAAAAATTCTCTCCTGAGGGCACTTTTTAAAAATTGTTTTTATTTGAGAGAGAGAGAGAAACATTGATGTGAGACAGAAATCAGTTGCCTCTTGAATGCACCCTGAACAGGGATCAAACCCAAAACCTAGGTATGTGCCCTGATTGGGAATCAAACCACCATATTTTTGTGTACGGGATGATGCTCTAACCAACTTAGCCACCCAACCAAGGCAAAAAAGTTACACCAGATTTTAAAACCATTTTCTTTTTATCAAACTATTATCCTTTCCCATGTTTTGTAATACTATATCTAATTGCTACAGTGGAACAGATCAGTGACACCTCAGGAGTCAGGTGTCACTCGTGCTAAACTGTTCCTCCTTGATTTCTAATTTATAAAGAAACTAGAGGCTCGGTACACAAAATTCGTGCACGGGGGTCCATCAGCCCAACCTGCACCCTCTCCAATCCAAGAGCTGACAGGGGATGTCCTACTGATGGCTCAGGCCCACTCCCCGTGGTTCTCTGCTCTGCAGGGCTCGGGGACTTCGCCTCAGCCATGGAGACAAAGCCCTCGTGCCCTGCTGTCCACTCTGTCCGCTGGGCCTGGGGGCGTGGCTGCCATGGGAAGAAAGCCCCCAAGTCCTGCTGTCTGGGTTCTGTCTGCAATGTCTGGAAGCTTCCCTCACCAGTGCCGCGTTAAGGAAACCCCCATGCCCTGCAAACGAAGCCCCCATGTTCTGCTGTCCAGGCTCTGTCAGTGACAGGCCTGGAAACTCCCAACAGCAGTGGATGGTGAGGCTTGATCTGCTGCTTGTTCCCCGCAACCCCCAGCCAGGCTGACAGACCAAGACACTCCAGCAGCAGGGCTAAGGGGACTGGGCATCGCTATCTTTGTGATGGTTAATTTGCATATTACTCTTTTTTTTAGATAGGAGGATACTTGACTTAATCCTTATAAGTCTCTATTAGACTTAGCAGAGGCTAACTCACACTAATAGTCTCAATGTAGCCAAGGTTAGAGATTATCAAAATTTATAACAGGATTTCTGAAAGTGATATACTAATAAAGAGGGTTTTTTTTCTTTTTATTTTTTTTTTTTTTTCCAAAACTTGAATTAGCCATTGGAGATGTACTAGTTAAACATTTATAGCATATATAGTACACCAGGGACTTAGCCAGGGTACTAGGAATAAAAAGACAGTTTTAGTGCTGTGAGAGATTATGTATAAATGAAAAGGCCATATTGGTTTTTTGATAAAGATTAAGTGAAAAATCTCAAAGTATATCTATTTTTGCAATCTTTTGAATATTTTTACATAAATTACATCATTTCTGGGTAAATAAATTCAAGCCATCTTCTCTCAGCTGTGACTACTTTGTGCTACAGTTTTCAGCACTGTTATGTTCTATGTGCTTTTTAATTTTTTTATTAAATTATTGTGTACATATTTTAACACTGCCTCCCCCCCGCCCACCCGCCATACATACCTTCCCTCCCCAGAGTTTTGTGTCCCATTGGTTGTACTTATATGCATGTATACAAGTCCTTCAGTTGATCTCTTATCTCCCCCAGATCTCCCTACCCTCCCCGCTGTAATTTGACAGTCTGCTTGTCGCTTTATGTTATGTTCTATGTGCTTTTATACTTGACAGAAATGTGAGGTTATCAGAAGATTTTGAATTCTTTCTACCAAATTTGTTCTTCCCTAGATTGAGATAATGTTTGAGAAATTTGAAAACTATGTAGTGCTGTCTAAATAGAACTGGTTGTTTGGTGGAGTCATCTCCCTAGGGTGAAACCTAGAGAGCATTTAATGTCAGGGATGTTGAGTGCATTTAGCCTCAGAAGACCAAGGTCTACTTTGGGCAAGTCATTTAATTTCTGAGCCTTATTTCCTTACTAGAGGCCCGATGCATGAGATTCATGCACTCGGAGGTCCCTCAGCCTGGCCTGCACCCTCGCACCTTACAGGATCCCTCAGGGGACATCCTTAGCACTGCCTCGCCAGCTGTGAGCTCAGCTTCTGGCTCAGCAGCACTCCCCCTTGGGAGCACACTGATCCTTCAGGGGGCAGCTCCTGCCTTGAGCGTCTGTCCCCTGGTGGTCAGTGCGCATCATTGTAACTAGTCTTTCCCCTGTTTGGTCAATTTGTATATTATTATAGCATTTTATTATGTAGGCTAGGATAGGTCATTATCTCCAGGACATCATGGAGCAATCACTTCATAAAAAGTGTAATGTAGATGTGGATTCAGAGACACCTTGTTTTCCCTTTTTTGTCCTTATCACTTCTGTCCAGAGAAACCAGGTAAATTTTATGGGGTGGTAGCTAGTAGACAGCAGGCAAGCTCTTTGAATTAGACTGCTACAAAATTAACATTCTATCTACATTATATAGAATGTAGTGGATAGATCAGAATGGACTATCTATACTTATTGTCAATTCTAGTCGATCAGTTTAAAGAGGTTTCTTGGGGAAAGCAATTCAAAGGGTGCTTAAATTAATGATTTTCCATAGTAAAAGACTGCTTTTGTTAAAATTTTTATATGTGCACATGGATGATACTTTCACTTGGTTTTGTAGACATTATATACTTAGGTCTTGTGTTTTGATCCACTCTGGCCATCTGTCTGTTGGCGTCAACTTAGTTTTATTGTTTATCAATTTGCTCTCATTTGCCATTATTAATAGAAAAGGAGAGAAGTGTCCTAAGTCTCAAAAACCTAGATTTCAAAATCTAATAGTCTCCTGGCCAAATTTCTCCTGACTGTATGTATTTTTTGTGTATAATATGGTTTTAGTATAATCTTTGCTTGAAAAGAAAAGTACATAAAGAATTTGAACACTTTCCCTTTTTCTGACTTGCTTCATCTGATACAGTTGTAAGAAGTGCTCATTTGAACCAGTTTCATATCTTCTGATCTAAAAATGTTGACAAGATAAGCAGTTTTCCATGATCTAAGATGATAGTGAGTACTTACTTTCCAGCGTGTCAGCTCAAGTCACGCTTAATACCTTCATAGGCCTTGAGTTTTGTTAATCAGGGGAACAAAAGTTAGGGAAATGTGTACACATCAAAAAAAAAATCTAAAAGATAATGATAGAAAGGAATTTAATAAGTAACTCCTTGAACATCTTCTTTTCCCTAACCTATCTGAAGTATATTTTATGGTACAGGAGGAAATTTTAACACCAGGCCTAGATTACATGACTTCTCATGCATGGATCTTTCCCAGCCTTCATTTCTTTTCACTGATGGTACTCATGATGTTTTCTAACTATATTCTAACCTTTCATGTTTTTCTTTTTCATGTAGGAAACCTATGAGAATATCCCAGGCCAGTCAAAGATCACATTCCTCTTACAGGCCATCAGAAATACTACAGCTGCTGAGGAGGTACTATAATATTTGAGAATACATTTTTATTATTATTATTACTACTAGAGGTTCGGTACACGAAATTTATGCAAGTGGCAAGGAGCGCACAGCTTGTTCTTCAGCCCAGCCTGCACCCTCTCCAATTTGGGATCCCTCTCACAATCCAGGACTGCTGGTTCCCAACTGCTTGCCTTCCTGATTGCCTCTAACTGCTTCTGCCTGCCAGCTTGATCACCCCCTAACCACTCCCCTGCCAGCCTGTTTGCCCCCAACTTCCTTCCTCTGCCGGCCTGGTTATCCCTAACTGCCAGCTGGTTTGTCCTGAAGGGTGTCCTGGATCTGGGTGGGGGTTCCCTTGGGGTATGAGACAGCCTGAGCTGGGGACCTGTGGTGGTTTGCAGGCCAGCCACGTCCCCTAGCAACCCAAGTGGAGGCCCTGGTATCTGGAATTTATTTACCTTCCACAATTGAAATTTTGTAGCCTGGAGCAGAGCCAAGCCTCCTGCTGCTCCATGGCCAGCAGCCATTTTTGTTTGGATTTGTTTACCTTCTATAATTGAAACTTTGTAGCCTTGAGTGGAGATCTTTGCAGGGCAGGCTGAAAGCTAGTTTTCCTTTGTTGCCTGGGAAACCCAAGCCTCCCTCATGCTCTCTGTGGATTTAGCCATTTTGGTTGGGTTACTTTGCATACTCGCTCTGATTGGCTGGATGTAGTGGAGTGATAGTTAATTTGCATATTACTCTTTTATTAAGTAGGGATTATTATTTCAGAGAAAAAGGGAGAGGGAGAGACGGAGACATCAATAATGAGAAAAAAAATCACTAATTGCTGCCTCCTGCATGCCCCCTAACGGGGATTGAGCCTGCCAACCAGGCATGTGCCCTTGACCAGAATCAAATCTGGGACACTTCAGTCCACAGGTCGATGTTCTAACCACTGAGAAAAATCAGCTAGGGTGAGAATATATTCTTTTTTTTATTAATTTAAAAAAAATATATTTTATTTATTTATTTTTTTTTTTTTTACAAAGAGTAAGGGAGAGGGATAGAGAGATAAAAATATCGATGAGAGAGAGACATCGACCAGCTGCCTCCTGCACACCCCCTACCAGGGATGTGCCCACAACCAAGATGCATGCCTTTGACTGGAATCAGACCTGGGACCTTTCAGTCCACAGGCCAACAATGCTCTATCCACTGAGCCAAACTGGTTTCTGCGAGAATATATTCTTATAAGTTGGATGTTAGATGGTGGTCAAAGTGGATAGTGAGTACTATTGTTACTATGTAGACATTACCTTATTTGCTAGAAGCTATTTTGGAGTTTAAAAAAATGTTTAAGTGCTCATATTAAAAATGACAATGATACATCCCCCATGTCAAATGATGTGTCCAGGATATTTAAAAGTTAATATTTTAAAAATAATTGCATTAAAATTATTAAATATGATTTCTGTGGCTATAAAATTTTTTCTAGCTCAAGACAGCTCATTCTAAATGAAGAAATTTAATTATTTATGTATTTTAATGTGTTGCTAAATGATTCTGAAAAAAATATTTTTTATCTCTTTTAAAATGTTATCCTTATAGCTATCTCTAAATGGAGAGAAATATTTACTATAAAGTTGTTTGGAGAATAAAGGACATTTTGTAGAGTCCTTTTAAAATCATGACTTTTATCAAATTAATTACCAAATCAAATTTATTGTTTTTTCTACTTTTCTATGAATTTATAGCTAATTTCCTTCTTCCCAAAAGTAATATCTATGTATATCATTGAATGTGACTTGAATATCCTATTTATTTTGGAAAAAGCATTAAAATACCCGAATCGAGAAAACATATATCTATTCTTTAACTCAAAATGAATGTGAAATATGAACAATAAACTTAAGTCTCTACAGTTGGCTATTTTAATTCTTGAAGGTAGATGAAAGTTAGCTACAAGACAATTATTTTTTCAAATTATAAGAGAAAATTCATTTGAAAAGTTACAGAGGTAATAGAAGTAAGCTGTGTGAGTTGTGTAAGCTCAGGAAACATTTCAGAAACAAAGAAGGGCCCTTGAGCTTAGGGGAAAGAAAGGCAAAAGTTAGGACACCTGGGAAGAAGAAGGGGAGGGAAAGGCCAGAGCATGCTTCCCACAGGGAGAATGCACAGCTACAAAACAAATTTTAAAACAGAATAATATAAAAATTGTTGAGATTTACTTTTAAAAACCCCTATTGAGCCCTGGCCAGGTGGCTCAGTTGATTGGAGCACCAAAAAGTTGTGGGTTTGATTCCCAGTCTGGGCACATATGGGAGACAACTGATCTGTTTCTCTCTCACATTCATATTTCTCCCTTCTTCCTCTTTCTCTGAAAATTAGTAGAAACAATCCTCAGGTGAAGATTTTTAAAAATACCTATATTGAAACCCATTTAAATCTTGATTTGATTTAGGAATTAGATAATTGTGAACTGGCTTTAGCATTTTTATTGTGGCTTCATTGTTTTCAGTGTATGTGTGAGAATAGAAATATTTTAGCCACTCTTATAGGAATTTTAACCACTTTGGATTTTTGTTGTTAATCCTTATCCAAGGCTATATTTCCATTGATTTTTAGAAAGTGTGTAAGGAAGATGGAGAGACAGAGAAATATCCATATGAGAGAGACACATGGAATAATTGCCTCCTGCAGTGCCCTAACCAGGGCCAGGGATCGAGCCTGCAACTGAAGAATGTGGCCTTGACAGAAATAAAACCCAGGATCCTTCAGTCTGCGGGCTGGCAATCTATCCAATGAACCAAACTGGCTAGGGCTAGTATATAAAATATCACTATTTTTTTTTTTAATTATGGACTTGCCGGGACCAGTTTGGCTCAGTGGATAGAGCGTCGGCCTGCGGACAGAAAGGTCCCGGTTCGATTCCGGTCAAGGGCATGTACCTTGGTTGTGGGCACATCCCCTGTGGGCGGTGTGCAAGAGGTGGCTGGTCGATGTTTCTCTCTCATCGACATTTCTAACTCTGTCCCTCTCAATTCCTCTCTGTAAAATCAATAAAATATATTAAAAAACAAATAAATAAAATTAAAAAAATAAAAATAAAAATTATGGACTAATGGGAGACTATAACAGTTTTTTTCTATTTAAATGTTTTTATTGATTTCAGGGAGGAAGGGAGGACAAAGAAAAATAGAAACATCAATGATGAGAGAGAATCATCAATTGGCTGCCTCCTGCATGCCCCCCATTGGGGATCGAGCCTGCAACCTGGGCTTGTGCCCTTGACCACAATCAAACCGGGGACCCTTCAGTCTATAGGCCAACACTCTTTCAACTAAGCTAAACCAATCGAGGGCTAGAGTACACATTTTTTTAAAAAATATATCTTATTGATCTTCCACAGAGAGGAAGGGAGAGGGATAGAGAGCTAGAAACGTCGATGAGAGAGAAACATCGACCAGCTGCCTCCTGCACACCCCCTACCAGGGATGTGCCCACAACCAATGTACATACTCTTGACCGGAATCGAACCTGGAACCTTTCAGTCCACAGACCAACGCTCTATCCACTGAACCAGACCAGTTTCGGCTAGAGTACACATTTTTAAATAAGTTTGCTATCTGTTTTAAGTAGTTCAGATGAAAAGATTTCTCATTGAAAAGTAAATGGAGAAAAAAATTGGCAAATTTTATTTGTATAGCTTAACTCTTTCTGTTGATCATAGTCCCAAAGAAATTTGATAAAGAATAGCTGTAGCCCAAAAAAAAGAAAAAGAACATGTATAATTTGGTTTATGGATTTAATATCAAATTTTATAATGGTGTTTGTGTCAACTTTTGATTATCTTTAATAATACAGGAAATACAGATGATACAGAAAACATAAAACTTAAATTCTTTAGGTTTGAAAACGGGATAAGAATATGCACATTGAGATTATCATTTTTTTGGTGTTGGGAACTTAAAATATTTGTTTGCAAGAATGACATGTAAACATAAATAGATTTGATAGCATTTTATCTAAAGAGGTTAATGAAAAGTCAGTAATATAGCAAGATAGTCCAGGATGAGAGTATGTGATTATGTGGAAGATGCACTTTGGATACTAGAGTGAGTGCCAAATGGAGAAGTAGGAAATACAGTTTTATTAATATCTGATTTTCTCCCCAAAGAGTGTATTAAAAATAGGAATTTTAAACAGGTTTATTACTGCTGTGATGTGTTCCTATTTGAGATGTAATCTCAGGTCTTTTACTCAGCTATAAACAAAAATACTTTTGGGTAGTATTTTCTTATATAGTAGGCTAATGTGATTAGAAATACTTTCATATATTTTTTCAAAATCAAATAAAATGCTTTTGGAATGAATTGTCAAAAGAGTTGTGAGCCCTGGCGAGTTTTGCTCGGTGGTTAGAGCCTCCAGAAACAAAGAAACAAAGGGTTACAGGTTAAATACCTGGTCAAAGGTATATATACACACACATCCCATCCCAACCCTCACCCCCTGTCAGGTGTGTGTGGGAGGCAACCAATCAATGTGTCTCTCTCATATGGATGTTTCTCTCTTCCCTTCCATCTCTCTCTCTCCCAGTTCTCCCCCCTTCCACTCTATCTTTTCTAAAAATCAATGGAAAAAATATCCTTGGGACAGGATTAAAATAGATTAGTGAAATACATAAATGGCAGAGGGAATCTAGTTTGTTGGAAATTTTTTCTGTAGGAAGACAGTAAGTTATTAATAATGTTATCTACTTATAGGCTAGACAAATGGCTGCTGTTCTCCTAAGACGTCTTTTGTCCTCTGCATTTGATGAAGTCTACCCAACTCTTCCTTCTGATGTCCAGACTGCCATCAAGAGTGAACTACTAATGATTATTCAAATGGAAACACAGTCTAGCATGAGAAAGAAAATTTGTGATATTGCTGCAGAGTTGGCCAGAAATTTAATAGGTTTGTATGCAAATGCATTTATTATTATTTATATATATAAAAGCTTAAGTGACTGAACAACTGAATGACCAGTCGCTATAATGCACACTGACCACCAGGGGATAGATGCTCAATGCAGGAGCTGCCCCCTGGTGGTCAATGCACTCCTGCAGTCCCTCCTGCCAGCTCCAAGCCGTCCCCATCAGGACTGGACTAGATGGCTCTGATCAGCCTCAATTGCCTACCAGGTCTCTAGTTATGATATAAAAGAAAAAACACAGTTGACATTGAATAACATAGATTTGAATTGCATAGGTCCACATATATGGGAGCATTTATTTATTTATTTTGCAATTCGCTGTTGGGAGTCTAGATACTGTGGATTGACGGTATGCATTTTTTTTTTAAGTGGAATCTGTAGAGGAAAATTCACAAGAACCTGAGTATCATTTATTCTGTTCAAAATGAGAGTGATTATGGATTCTGCATTTAGGGCCAAAATGATAGATGTTTGTGAAATGCAATCATACCATTGGTGTTTATCATATGGAGAATTAGTATTATAGTTTGTTTGAAAATTGTTGGGTGTGTATTTTTTTAAAATATATTTTATTGATTTTTTTATAGTAAGGAAGGGAGAGAGATAGAGAGTTAAAAATATCAATCAGCTGCCCCCTTCATATTCCCTACTGTGGATGTGCCTGCAACCAAGGCACATGCCCTTGACCCGAATCGAACCTGGGATCCTTCAGTCCACAGGCCAATGCTCTATCCACTAAGCCAAAACCGGTTATGGGAAAATTGTTGGTTTTATTCCCCCTTAATCTGTATAGTTTTGAAAGCATATACTGACTTTTAGCCTATTTTGTAGACTTGGCAATACAAGAAGAAATTAATGGAATCCAGGTGCTTTTGCTATTGTTTTTTTTTTAAATCTTCACCCAAAGATATTTTTTCCCATTGGTTTTTAGAGAGAGGGATAGACTGAGTGAGAACTATCATTGTGAAAGAAACACATTGATTGGTTGCCTCCTACATGTGCCCTGCGTCAGGGAGGAGCCTGCAACCAAGTTATATTCCCTTGACTGAAATTTAACCCAGGACCCTTCAGTCTGTAGGCTGATGCTCTAGACACTAAGCCAAACCAACTAGGGTTGAAACAATTTTTTTAGTATGTATTTTTATTGATTTTAGAGAGAAAAGAATATAAGTCTGTTGCCTCCCATATATGCCCAACTAGAATTAAACCCGAAACCCATCAGTGCTTGGGACAACTCTCCAACCAACTAAGCCACATTGATCAGGATGAAACTGCTAATTTTGAATTTTTAAAAAAGCTTAGGAAATCCTATTTTAAAATATTATTATTTTTACTTATTTTTTATTAATCTTCACCTGAAGATTTCCCCGCAATTAATATTTAGAGAGAGTGGAAGGGACTTGGGTGGGGGGAGGCATCAATAGATTGCCTCCCATGAGTGCTGTGACCAGGGCCGGTATTGAGCCTACATCTGGGATATATTCCTTGACTAGAATCAAACTTGAGACCCTTTGGTCTGAGGGTGGACACTCCTAACCACTGAACTAGGGCTTATTTTTAAATTTTTTAATTGCATAGATAAGAGGTTTCTTTTAAATCAATCACTTGATAATAAAAACATTTTAAAAATGTTTCAAGGTATTCTCTTTGTAGTATTTTAAATTGTTTTCATTTATTGCCACACCTGTGTGGTTCAGTGGTTGAGGATCGACCTATGGACCAGAAAGTTATCATTCAATGCCAGGTCTGGGCACATGCCTGTGTTTTAGGAGACAGCGGATCAATGATTCTCATTATTGATGTTTTTGTTTCTCCCTCTCCCTTTCAGAAATCAATTAAAAAATATTTGAAAAGTTTTTCTTTTATTAGTTTGAGAGAAAGAAATAAGTTCATTGTTCCACTTATTTATCCATTCATTGGTTGATACATGTCTGTGCCTGACTAGTGACTGAACCTGCAACCTTGGTGTATCAAGATGATGCTCTATCCAACTGAGCTACCCAGCCAGGACCATAAGTATTTTCTTTTAAGCAGCTATTTTATTACAACTCAAAGCAACATTTTTTTAAAAATATGTTTTATTGATTTTTTACAGAGAGGAAGGAAAAGGGATAGAGAGCTAGAAACTTTGATGAGAGAGGAACATCGACCAGCTGCCTCTTGCACATCCCCTACTGGGGATGTGCCCACAACCAATGTACATGCCCTTGACCGGAATCGAACTGGGACCTCTCAGTTTGCAGGCCCACGCTCTATCCACTGAGCCAAACCAGTTTTGGCAAAGCAACATTTTTATTAGGTCTAGTAATAATTAATGTCGTTTTCTAATACTTTTATTAAATCGAATTTATTTAAACAATACAACAAAATTTAATCAACAATATAGTTGCCATTGTTTACTACTACTTGTGCCCAACACTCAGGAAGCATTTTCATCCCTCTGTTGTAAAATTCTTGTGATTTTGATGCAAAATATTCGGTCAATGCATTTTTGAGGCATTCTTCATTATTAAATTTTTTTCCAAGAAGAAAGTTTTGCAAAGAACGAAACAAATGGAAGGGGCAATATCAGGAGAATATGCAGGTTGAGGGAGAACTTCCCATTCAAACTGGCGCAGTTTTTCAGCAGTGATTCTTGCAGTATGCGGTCGTGCGTTATCGTGGTGAAGAATTACGCCCTTCCGATTAATCAGCGTGGGTTCTTTTTCTCTTAAAGCTTGGGCTAACCTTTCCAATTGGGCACTATACACTGCACTTGTAATGGTTTGGTTAGGTGGTAAAAGTTCATAATGAAGAATTCCTTTAAAATCCCACCAAACACACAACATCACTTTTTTCGCATGCAAGTCAGGTTTTGGCGTGGGCTGCGGAGCCTCATTTTTGTCCAACCATTGAGGCCGCCTTTTCAAATTAACATACAGCACCCATTTTTCATCTTCGGTAACCATGTGCTCTAAAAACGGCAAACGGTTTTGACGAGAGAGGAGCGAACTGCAAATTGTGACTCTTTGATTACGGTTGTTGTCGGTCAACTCAGGAGGAACCCATTTTCCAAACTTTTGGACTTTGCCAAGTGCACGCAATGGATTGGAAATTGTTTTTTGTGAACAATTTAAAGTTGTCGCAAGCTCTTGTTGGGTAATTTGAGGATTTTGCACCAAAAGAGCTTGAAGAGCTTCTTGATCAAAATTGGGCACAGGGCCTCGACCACTCTTGTCATCTAACTAAAAATTTCCCTCGCGAAATTTCTCAAACCAACGCTGTCATTTTCTGGCGCTAACTGCATCTTGACCAAGAGCACTACAGATGTTTTTTGCAGCCTCACTTGCTTTTCTTCCTAATTGGAACTCGTAAAGCATGCAGTGCCGAAGATGCTCTTCATCCGCCATCTTCTTAGCCCTAGTTTTGCAACAAAAACCAAACCAAACACAAACTTTTTCAAGCAAAACTTGTTAATTGCACTTCACACGTTCTGTAGATACCACGTGTTTGAAGGTTATGTCAATACAAGTCAACGCCAAGCAAGATTTTAAATGAATGTTTAAAAACGACATTACTTATTACTAGACCCAATATGTTAAAGAGATAGGTGAAGGGTATTTTTCTTAATCTCACTAATTAGCACTAATTTTAGAAAATCAGCAAATAATGGAGGGAAGTTTTTAACAAGAAAAAGTACAATCGCAATTTCTACAGCTCTACATTTTTTGTATAAATATAAATGGTGAGTTAAGAACGCAGTATATTTTTGTGGTTGCTCATTTTTATTACAAAGTAGCACAAAAATTTTGTATTTTAAAATCTTGTTTAAAAGTAAATACATTGAGCGGAAACCGGTTTGACTCAGTGGATAAACTCTCTATCCCTCTCTCTTCCTCTCTGTAAAACATCAATAATTTTTTTTAAGTAAATACATTGATAAAATCTGATAACACTTAAAACTGGAATGTGTGAGCACCCTACTCTGGGTCCTGGGATTCCCACTCCTATATCATCTAGAGTTTGAAATTAATAATTATTTTGGTTTCAAGACCTTGTTACCATATGTTAGCTTTGCCTATTTTTGTAAACTCTTTAATAGCAATAGTATATATATTTAAAGATTCAACCAATCAAATAGTCACAGTGATGCCTTTTCTCCAATCCCACTCCTTAGAAGTGACTCCTTTTAATATTGTGCTATGTAACACAAATATAAACAATTGCTTTTAATAAGATTACTAGAGGCCTGGAGCATGAAAATCATACACAGGGGTTGGGGGGTTTCCTTCAGCCCATCTTGCACCCTCTCCAATCTGGAACCCCTCGAGGGATGTCCAACTGCCCTCTCAATCCGGGACTGCTTGCTCCCAACTGCTCGCCTTCCTTCCTTCCTCATTGCCCCTGACCACTTCTGCCTGCCAGCCTGATCACCCCCTAACCACTCCCATGCCAGCCTGAATGATGTCTAACTGCTCCCCTGCCAGCCTGTTTGCCCCCAACTTCCCTCCTCTGACAGACTGGTCACCCATAACTGCCCTCCCCTGCAGGGTTGATCGCCTCCAACTGCCCTACCTTGCAGACCTGGTCCCTCTCAACTGCTCTCCCTTGCAGGCCTGGTTGCCCCCAACTTCCCTCCTCTGCCAGCCTGGTCACACTTAACTGCCCTTCCCTGCTGGCCATCTTGTGGTGGCCATCTTGTGTCCACGTGGTGGCAGGATCTTTGACCACATGGGGTCAGCTATTTTGATTTTGTTTGTTGGAGTGATGGTCAATCTGCATATTACTCTTTCATTAGATAGGATAAAGACCTGGTGCATGGGTGGGAGCCAGCTGGTTTGCCCAGAACAGTGTCCCAGATCACAGTGAGGGTTCCCTTGGGGTGTGGGAAAGCCTGGGCGAGGGGCCTGGGGTGGGTTTGCAGGCTGGCCACACCGCCTGGCAACCCAAACAGTCCCTGGTATCTGGGATTTATCTTCTACAATTGAAACTTTGTAGAGTTGAGCAGAGGCCTGGGCCCTCCAGGGTGTGCAGAAAGCTTGGCTTCCTCCATCAATGGGAAAACGCAAGCCTCCCTCCTGCTCTCTTTGTGTCAGCAGCCATATTGGATAAGTTAATTTGAATACTCGCTCCTGATTGGCTGGTGGGCATGGTTTGTGGATGTAGCAGAGTGGTGGTTAATTTGCATATTACTCTTATTATATAGTAGTATGTCATTTTTAAGTTAAAGAACCTAATTGTTAGAAGGTTTTTTTTTTTTGTTTTTAATGTAGAGCAGATGACATTTTCTACTACTCTTTTGAATGAAGCTTATAATGAAAGGATTCACCCTTAATGATTTGAAGTTCTGACTTACACGCTTTATGCCTGAATTTTTTTACTTTTAGATGAGGATGGTAACAACCAATGGCCTGAAGGTTTGAAGTTCCTTTTTGACTCAGTCAGCTCTCAAAATATGGGACTGCGGGAAGCTGCCCTTCACATTTTCTGGTATATACATAGATCTAATTTTCTGAAAATGTTAATGTGATGAATATGCAAAGCACATTTTTATTTTCTAGTGTAACTTTTTATTCTTAAAAGTCCTTCAGATAAGCTTTGTATTTGTGTTGGAAGTAGAATTGGGGGCGGGGGGAACCAAAACTTTTTATTTCATATTATGATCCTCATTTGTATATGAGGGCTCTCTGGAGCTTTATTTTTTTAATATATATATAAGGGATCTAGTCCACAACCCGGGCATGTGTGCCCTTAGCGGGAATCGAACCTAATTCATAGATCAATGCTCAACGGGCTGGAGCTTTATTTATTTATTTATTTATTTATTTATTTATTTATTTTTCTTATTCTGAAAACATTCTGGAACAGTTTCTTCGGCTTTATTTGGAAATGGACACAGTACTAAATGTAGCTTTTACAAAACCTGCTTTAGTAATGGCGTCTTGAAGAAGGGAAAGAAAAGACTCATGCATCCCTTTATTTTCTGGGTCTTCTGTGGTCAAGCTTTATAAAAATGTAATGTTTTAATAAACTGCTGTGTATTTATAAGCAGATGATCGAAGTTTAGAATGCAGTAACTATCTGCATTAAGAAAAAATTTGCTCTACCATGTTATACAGTTCACTGCATTTAAAATAAAATTTGGTTTATAAATTTTAAGGATTATATACATTTTTACAATAAGGCATACCTTGAGCATCTGAAGAGGATAAGGGTAGATATTAACACCATTTTCTCCTTTATTTGTCAGATGTATCTAATTTATATCAATAATCCAGAGTAGAGAATTAAGTAAAAGTATTTCATTTGTTTACCTAGTTTAAAGTAGAACATAACTTAAACCACCCTGGATCACCAAGACTAAGAGCAGACAGTGAGAAAGCATGGTTACGGCAGCTACCAGGTGGTTGCTCTTGTCCCATCCTGCATTTTAAGTTAGCTTCCCACTGAGACAGTATAAGAAGAAAGCACTGGGCTGGGATGGGTGGCTTAATCATGTATCCCTGGGTCTCCCTCTACTCCTAGTCTGATCACCTCCACTATGTTAATCCTTATGGTTGGAAAATACCTTAATGATTAACACACACTTTTGAGTCAGGTAGACATTTAATTTAATATTCTAGTTATCACTTTACTAAGATGAAATGTAGTTTCTTTTTATTTTTTATTTTTATTTTTTATATATATATTTTTATTGATTTTTTTAGAGAGGAAGGGAGAGAGATAGAGAGCTAGAAACATCAATGAGAGAGAAACATCAACCAGTTGCCTCTTGCACACCCCCTACCGGGGATGTGCCTGCAACCAAGGTACATGCCCCTGACCGGAATCGAACCCGGGACCCTTCAGTCCGCAGACCGAGGCTCCACCACTGAGCCAAACTGATTTCGGCTCTTTTTATTTTTTATTGACTTTAGAAAGAGAAGAAAAGAGAGAAGCATTGATTTGGCTTTCTACTTATTTATATATTCTTTGGTTGATTCTTATATGTGCCCTAACCACAAGTCTTACCTTGGGGTAATAGGACAGTGCTCTTAAGCAACTAAGTTATCTGGCTGGGGCATATGTAATACAGTTTTTTATATTAAAAAAAACAAAAAACATTTTGAATCATTTTTTAGGAACTTTCCTGGAATTTTTGGGAACCAACAGCAGCACTATTTAGACGTCATCAAACGGATGTTAGTTCAATGTATGCAAGATCAAGAACATCCAGCGGTAAATCATTTCAATTTCCTTAATATTAACACCTAATTTAAGATAACATCTAATTTGTGAAAGAATTTATGTGTTTGGAAATTGTCTTTAATACTTTAAAATATAAATACTAGGCTGGTACCATTTGGGGGCTCAGCCCATCTGGTTTTCCAGATGACCTAATAAGTTTATAATTCTTTACCTCACCTCCCACTCCCAAATCTATATATATAAAACTAACTTATTTGTACGTCTGACCGACCGGCTGACATACATATGACTCCCACTGGCAATTTAAGAATAAATGTTGACTCATACATGCATCACATATATAAAGGCTCTTGCCGGTGCCAATCGCATGTGTGTGTTTTGATCTGTCATTTTCAGTCATGAATTTGGTTGACACTTATAGAGAGGGCGAATAGCAGTATTAAAATATGCCTTCTAATTAATTTCCTTTCAATGTGCACAAATCTGTACACCAGGCCACTAGTCTATATATAAATAGTTTTATTGGTATGATAAAGAGAAATCCTTAGTAACAAATCTGAACTTGCATCCATTAAAAATGTCTCATTTGATATTTTTTACTCTCATCGCATTAGATCCGAACACTATCTGCTAGAGCTACAGCTGCATTTATACTTGCAAATGAGCATAATGTTGCTCTATTCAAACATTTTGCAGACTTGTTACCCGGATTCTTACAGGTAAGAAAACCATTTAAAATAGATGATAATTATATCTTAATTGGTTTCTGTAGTTTTATAAATGCATATCAGAGTTACATTCATTTATTCAGTAAATATACATTGTCTACTGTGTACTGGTACTAGGCACTGAGGATACAGCAAATCATGCTGAACAAAACATGCAAATCATTGTCCACTTTGAACTTAAATCTATTAGTTATGATAGGTTCTTAGACTTTTAAAATACTTAGGTTAGAGTTTTAGAGTTTCAGAGTTTTTCTATAATACAGATGATATAAGCAACTTATGCTTATTGAATATGTAATTACATGGGTTACTTCCATTGAATCGTCCAAATAACCTATGAAATTAAATGCCTATTTTACATACGGGAAAATTAAGGAGGAAAGCATAAGAAAATTGACAATTCCACAGTGTTGGAAAGTGGTGGAATCCTGCATGATTTAAACCCAAATCAGACTGCAGTTCTTAACCTTAGCCAGAAGGTTTATAACAGTTTGTATTATAGTTTATGGTTAATTCCCATAATTGAATGTCAAGGATAGGTTATTATGTTAAGGTCACCTGCCTCAATGAGAAGGTAAAGTAAGATTGAGTAAATTGGAGCAATTAATCTTCTTAGACTCCAAACCCATTTTTAATAACGTATTTTGTAACTTCCCATATTCTGTCCTAAAATGAAATGCATAGGTAACATAACTCACACACATGCACAAATTTTTAAATATCAATACCAATTTTTTTAAATATCAATATCAATTTTTAAATATCAATGTTCTAAGTGAATAAAATTTTTTTTAAAAAGTAACATATAATAAAAATGGCATACTTTCTACATATAAATGCTAAAGCATGACTACCACAAAAGAAATAGTAGATTAGGTAATTTAAAAAAAAATTTTTTTAATATATTTTATTGACTTTTTACAGAGAGGAATAGAGAGGGATATATAGTTAGAAACATCGATGAGAGACAATCATTGATCAGCTGCCTCTTGCACACCCCCTACTGGGGATGTGCCCGCAACCATGGTACATGCTCTTGACCGGAATCGAACCCGGGATCCTTCAGTCCGCAGACCGACGGTCTATCCACTGAGCCAAACCGGTTTCGGCAGATTAGGTGATTTTTTTTTTAAAGGAATCATGGAACATTTTTTTTTTTACTGTACATTTTTAAAACTATGCAAAATATTTGTGAGTTGGGTTCCAGGTTCTGATTATTATAAGTAAGCTCATTTTGTAAGTGTTTTATATTTATGATTTTGTGAGATTCATGATAAGAAGGTCTTGTGAATTCCTTGGAATCATTTGGGTCACAAATGGAGGATAGCTACTACTCCTTGTTTTTGCCCATCTTCACTGATGACAACCAAGAAAACATCTAAGAGAAATAGCAACCCTGTTGCAAACTGGTTAGACAGAGTTAATGAAGATAAAACTGAAATATTCTGCATGGGTCAGAGGGTTTAGTAGATATTTTTCTATTGTTAGCAAATTGAAAAGAGTCAATGACAAAACATTAACTTTTCCATTCTATTTTAGTAGTTCATTACCAAACTTTACATTCTGTTTCGTCTTTTCTAGGCTGTAAATGATTCGTGCTATCAGAATGATGATTCGGTCCTAAAATCCCTTGTGGAGATTGCAGATACTGTTCCAAAATATTTGCGTCCTCATTTGGAAGCTACTTTACAGCTAAGTCTAAAGGTAAATTAAATACTACAGTAAATGTTGTGTTTATTATTTTCAGTGAATAAACTACTAAATATATGCAAATGTGTCTTCCTTATAGTTGTGTGGAGACACTAGCCTCAATAATATGCAACGCCAGCTTGCCCTTGAAGTAATTGTGACCCTCTCTGAGACTGCGGCTGCTATGTTAAGAAAACATACCAATATTGTTGCACAAACTAGTAAGTCAGAGATCTTTAAACGGTTTATATTAATATAGGAAAATTGTTGAATAAATGTGCTGAGAGTTGTATAAGCTCACAAGTTTGTTAATGTGCTTTAAAATTCAGAAGTGTCTGGGGAAGTGCATTTCTGTATATACTTAATGTATGTACCCAACTTGCTGGCTTTACTGCAGCTCTCTGAAACCTAACATGATAGCAGGCATGACTTGTAATAACTAGAAATCAAAAAAATTTATGGAGAAAATTTTATATGATATTAAAAGATCAAAAGAAACATTGAAAGAACTAAATATCAATTCTCCTCAAATGGATCTATAAATTCAGTATAATTTTACTCAAAATCCAATTTATGTTGAAGAACATAGGTTCTCGAGTAAAATGTTGTTAAAGAGAATTTTGTTAAACCAAACAGAGGTCTTGCCCTATCAGCTGTGAAGATTTAGAATTTGTTGATGGTTCAGGTGTAGACAAATGCATTGTGTGGAGCAAAAGGGTGTGGAGCAGAACCACTCAGGTGGAAGCAAAACTGACTTCATGAAAAGTCCTTGCGGCGACCGGTTATTTCTATTTTAAAAAGTACCACAATCTTAAATATTCTGTAACAACCAATTTGGGGTTGATTAAAAACTAATGCAGACATGTTTTATTTTTTTAAAATATGTTTTTATTGATTTCAGAGAGGAAGGGAGAGGGAAAGAGAGAAAAACATCAATAATGGGAGGGAATCATCAATTGGCTGCCTCCTGCCTGCCACACACTAGGGATCGAGCCCTCAACCTGGCCATGTGTCCTGATTGGTAATCTAACCATGTCCTCCTGGTTCATAGATATACACTCAACTACTGAGCCACGCCAGCTAGGCCATAGACAAATTTTACAAGTAAAGCTTGATAGATAGTAGGGAAGGATTTTTTAAAAGACTAATTTAAAAACCATATACGTAAAAACATTGCTAAATTTGCAAAAAGGAAAACAATTTTCTGACTATCCAGGGACATCATAAGTGAAACAAAGTTTTGTTATCCAGAAATTAGTCAAAAGTTAGTAACAGGAAATTCACAAAAGAGGAATCTAAAATAGCTAAAGAACACTGCTCTTTCTCAGTAAAAAAGTGTAATTGTGGAATATAGTGTATTGGAAGCTTTGACAATATCAAGAATTGATGAAGTGTGTAGATAGAAGACATTTTTACAGTTCTAGGACACTTCACACATTATGATGAAATAAGATAGGCCTTTCAACAACTCCCTTTAGCAAGCTTATAAAACCACTATGGAGAACAGTTTAGTGCTGATGAAGATACTTGTAGGTATTTAAACTCACACTTGTCAAAGAGATAAGTATTAAGAATTTCATCAAAGTAAAATTTGTAATTGGAAACAACCAAAATGTCCATCAACAGGATAGTGTTTATATAATGGAATGCTATGAGAAAAAAGAAAATTGCCAGACGATACATATAGTATGACTAGTGTCCTAGTGCATGAATTTGTACACCTTGAAAGGAACTGTGAGCTGTGAGGCTGTGTTCGGCATGGAGGCAGGTCTTGGCACATCCTCCGTGCCCCCACCCAGTACCTCCCGAAGTAGCCCCTGGTCTCTTCTCTGTCAGCAGCCCTGCTCCTGCCACCACAGCTCCTACGCACTTATAGCACCAGCACTGGCTCTGCTCACACCTGTGGGGCCAGTGCCATTCACAGGTGCGAGCATCGGCTGCTGCCCCAGTCACCCCTCAGGAGCAGGGGAAGGCAGAAAAGCCCTCAAGCGATCAGGGCCAGTAGCCACTCCTCGCATCCTCTGGCTGTGCTGAGCAATAGGGATGGCACTGGGCACCAGCAGCGAGTGTGAGCACCAGGCAAGACTGCAGGGCATGGGAGCAAAGAATTTTCAGTAACCACTGGAGGCTCTCCCCGATGACAGTGACTGGCGCCCCACCTTGATCTGACACCCCCACTCACCTGCTCCACCATCCCACTGCTGCTAACACCCGCCATGTTCCGCACACGCCCCTGGGTGATCAGTGTACATCATAGTGACCAGTTGCTCAATTGCTCTGCCATTCAGTCTATTTGCATATTAGGATTTTATATATATAGATATCATCTATCTAATAATAATGAAATATGCAAATTATCTGGGACACCATCACAGCAACATTAACTACCAGCAACCTGCCTGGGGCTACCAGGCCAGTAGGGGGGTTAGTGAGGGACAACCAAACAACTCAACAGCAGGTTGCTTGGGGCAACCAGGCCGGCGGGGGTTGGAGGGGGGGGATTTGGGGGTGACTAAGCTGGCAGTGGGGGGAGTTAGGGGTTATCAGGCTGATGGGCAGGGGTCAGCAGGCAGGCAAGTGAGTAGTTAGAAGCCAGCGGATCCAGGCTGTGAGAGGGATGTCTTAGATTGGAGAGGCAGCAGGTTGGGCTGAAGGAACCTGCCCCCTGTGCACAAATTTCCTGCACTGGGCCTGTAGTCCTACATAATGCTATATGATAAAAGCTTATATGCTAAGTGTCTGGTCAGCTGCTCAACCAATCAAAGCAAAATATGCTAATGATGTGCTATGGCTGCTCAACCACTGGCTTGATATACACTGACCACCATGGGCTAAACAGTCGACCCAATCAGTCACTATGATGTGTGCTGACCACCGGGGAGCAGATGCTCCAAACTGTAAGTTAGCTTAATGCTGGGGACATGCCGTGGAGCCCTTCCGCAGTCCCTCCCCGGCTGGACAGTCTCCCATGTCTTTCCCTGTCCCTGATTGTGCATGGGGTTGGGAGGGGGAGTCCCTCTGCCTGGCCTGTGCCCCCTCACTATCCGGGATCCCTCTGGGGATAATGGAGAACTGGTTTCGGCCCGATCCCACAGGGGGAGCCCTGCTCAGCCAGAAGCCAGGCTCATGGCTGGCACGCACAGCAGCAGTGGCAGGAGCCTTTCCTGCCTCTGTACTAGCACCAAAGATGTCCAACTTGGGCCTGGGGAGTAGGCCTAAGCCATCATACATCCCCCGAGGGCTCCCAGGCTGCAAGAGGGCAAAGGTCAGGCTGAGGAAATCCTCCACCCCCAACCCCGCCCTCTAGTGTATTATACATAAAATACAATCTTGAAATAGTGCTCCTTTGTATGTAAATACAGAGGTCTATAGTTCAAGTGTAAAAACAGTTTGGGAAGGAAATATTTGAATTTTTTATTATGGAGCTCTCTTCTGGTGAGGAAGGGAGATAATATAGTAGATTTTGTGAAGTTTGACTTTAATTCTTAATGTACTTCTTAATAAGATTTAAAGTAAATGTGCCCTTCCAAAAAAATAAAAAACAACCCACAGTTAAAATTAAAAACAGGTGATGGGCAAATAATTTTTTTTGTTTCACTCTCTTAGAGGCAAAGTAAATCCTTCATTTTTTACTTAGTAAGATTCTTGTTTGTAAATAATAATATTGACAAAAATAGCCATGTTCTTCGGGTATAAAATTATTTCCTTTAGTTCCTCAGATGTTAGCAATGATGGTTGATCTAGAAGAGGATGAGGACTGGGCAAATGCGGATGAACTAGAAGATGATGATTTTGACAGGTAATCAATCATACACAACAAATAGTGTATAAAGGTTCCTCCTTGACAAGCTAGAGCAACATGAGAGATAATGAGAGCTTTAGGCTTATGAGGCCCCCATCTTTCTCCCACTGTTTTTCATAATTTGAAGTTAAACTTTTAAGTTTGGAATATTGGACACTTAGGCTTCTTGTATGCATTTCTGCATCTGATTTTGGAAATATTTTAAAGTAGCTATCTTTTCTACCCCAATCTAACTTGAAAGGAGACGGTGGTGAAATCTGTACACTAGGTGACATAACACTGGAATTGCTATTTTACTTAGGAGTCCCCCATGAATATAGATTTCTATGGAAAAGTCAACCAAAATCTATATTTACTATTCCAATAGTGATAATGGCCCCTTGCATGTACATGAAATAGCACTGCAGAGATCTGTTAATTTGATTCTTTCAGTAGTCTTATAGGTATATTATAGATACAAAATGGAGAGAAATGGTTTAGTGATTTGCTCAATATTGCATAGCCAGTTAATAGACTGGGCTTTAATACCATTTTTCTTAGTCTTCCTATCTCTGTTTCTTAGAAAGAGCAGAAATTATTCCCAGAAAGACTAGCAGTCAGTATAAGCTACTATAACAATACTAGAAATGAAAGACATTTGACTTATAGATTATATGGTGGCTTCTGAGGCTAACTCCCATTATTAAAAATGACTGAGTTCTGACTTAAAATATTGTGTTGAAGTGTATGAGAGTGGTCCTTCACTGGAAATATCCTAGCAGGGCTGAGGCAAAGATAGGGCTCGGATCTGGTTTCCTTTCCCTGGTTCAGTTACTCTCATGTGCTGCTACCTGGCCTGGAATTTGCCCTGCAAAAGGCCCTTGAATTTATATGGTTTATGAAGCTGTTTTTTCTGAACTAGGTGACTAAGGTTTTCTTATCTATGAGTAAATGGTCATGTATTTATTTTCAAGATCAGTTTAAGTCTAAGAACCTGTTCTAAAGATAATTTGTAGTCTTTTCTTTGTACACATGTGGAGGCCAAAGTAGGTTTATAGTTGTAAGTATCCAAACAGTTTATTCTATATTACTGTTCATTAATTACTATATTGTTTTGCAACAAACAACTGCAAATCTATTTTTGTTCACCCTGTTTGTTTTATCTTCAGAACAGTTAAGGATTATACACATGACAAACTCAATCTTAAAGTTATAAGGCAGGGTAAAGGCTTTTATGCCTGGTTTTCTTCAGTTTTCAGTGAAAACACTGGAATGGAGTTTCATTTTCACATAATTTTTGGCAATGCAATTTATACCCCTTTAAAGGTAAATAAGTTCACAGTGAGGAGAAAATCATATACTGTCTCAGCCCCCTTTCAGTTTTCTATGTTCTGTTCACTGGTCATTTTGAAGGATATTTGTCCAGGAAATGAAAAATACAAGGTTCTCCTAAATGCTCTGCACACACTTCTGCATCTTGAAAGTATCAGAAGCTAATACTTGTTAGTCAGTGTGCATGTAAAGAGAGAGAAAGGAGAAAAAAAGCCTTGAAAAATAAAATTTGAACATGAACTTATTAAACTACAGTGAATCGTAAGTTTATTTGCCTCCCATCCCTTTTTTAACTCTAGGGTTTTTAACTCACAATTTACTATATACATTCAAAAGGCTGCTTGACTTACTCTTTTTCAAACCTAGTTTAATAGCGATCCGTATTTAGAAATATGTCTGTATAGTGTACTATTATTGTATATCTTAAATATGTTGAGTACATTACATGCTGTTTTGTGCAGCAATGCAGTTGCTGGTGAGAGTGCTTTGGACCGAATGGCTTGTGGACTTGGTGGAAAGCTCGTTTTGCCCATGATCAAGGAACACATTATGCAGATGCTTCAAAATCGTAAGTTCTTTCTTTCAAATGCTAGAATAATGGAAAATTGCTTTCTAAATCAGAAACTCTTAACAAATGCTTAAACTACGTCTAAAAATTAATCTTTGTCTTTTTATATTCTATGTTTAACCTGATTTTTATATTGTGTTGATATAATTTTATTTAGTAGTCTTTGGGGCCATTCAGTCTTAAGCCAAAGAATATATATTTTTATATAAATATATTTTATTGATTTTGTACAGAGAGGAAGGGAGAGAGATAGTTAGAAACATCGATGAAAAAGAGTCATTGATCAGCTGCCTCTTGCACACCCCTCACTGAGTATATGCCCACAACCAAGGTACATGCCCTTAACCGGAATCGAACCTAGGACCCTTCAGTCCCCAAGCCAACACTCTATCCATTGAGCCAAACCGGTCTCGGTAAGCCAAAGAATATTTTTCCTCACTATTAAAAATAACCCCAGTCTCCTCAGTATTGGCCTAATTCTATAGGAAGAGTATGTAAATTCTAAGGAAAATTTTACAGTTTTCTCTTTAGCCAGAAACATCTAGATTTAATTTAACTAAGATGATATTATTTTACTATTTATAAAACATTTGATTCAAAATTTTATGAGAGATACTTGATTTATATAATCTCCATTCAATATCTTTTATTTTTAAAAATATCTAGTATTTCTTAAATATTTGGTCATATCAATACTAAACATTGTCTACATGTTTTTTGTGGGGATGTTTTGTTTTTTAATTACAAAGTAAATGTATTTGAATTTTTTTTTTAATTCAAATATCGAAATGTATTAACTAAAAGTCCCTTACCTTAGATTCAGAGGTGGCCAGTGTTAAAAAGTTTCTGAGAGTTTTATTTGCCTCTCTTCCTCACCCCCTTTCCGTTTTGTTTTTCTTTCTTTATCTATGCATATTGGCAGGCGGCACTTTTGGAATGTGACCATTCCATACAGACTCCCTATACTTACCTTAAGCTTTTGCCGCACAGTACAGTACATCACCACACAATAGCCTCCTTTATTTAACAGCACATAGCATCCCACACTTCCTCACTGAACGTTAATAGTTTTTGTTTATTAAAATAATGGTGCTGCATACACTTGTACAAAAATAAATCATAGTTTGCTTGTATGAATATTTCATATATAGCGTACATTATAGGAGACTCTGAGGGGCAAACTATTGATTCATGATCTTAAAGTAGTAAAACAGTAACAATACTAGCCTCAAATGAAATTGAACTATTAAGAACTCTCGCTAGCCCTTAGACTGTTTACCTTGCTCCTTTTTCTATTAAGATTCTTATTTACCTTGAAAGGCATTGCCCAAATCATGGTCCCTATTTAATAATGTGGTTTTACATTTGGGTCTTGAGTAGTAATTTTTCCCCTTTTTTTTTTTAACTCCTTGAATTTTTTGTGTTTGGGGTTGGGGTTGTTTTGGGTTAATCCTCACCCGAGGACACTTTTCCATTGACCTTTTAGAGAGAGGGAAAGACAGAAACATGGATGTGAGAGAAACACATCGATTGGTTGCCGCCTGCACATGCCCCAACCAGGGCCAGGTCGGGGAGGATCCTGCAAGCAAGATACTTGTCCTTGACCGGAATGGAACCTGGGACTCTTTGGTTCACAGGTCCGATGCTCTATCCATTGAAGCAAACCAGCCAGGGTAATCCCCTGCTTTTATTTTTTTTTAGGGTTTTTCACAAAAGAATAGAGACAGATAGCATCACAAATTCCTCAACCTCTAATTACCGCTGAAAAGAATCTAGCTTTTTCATTTTAAGATGAAAGTAAAGCCCAGAGACATTTTGCACAAGGCCAACCAGCCAACAGTGCTTTTCCATTGATTCACACTTTTTGGGTTGTTTTGTTGTGGAGTGGTTTTGTGATTTGCAGTTCAATAATTTGACTTTTAAAGTCTTGTTACAACTTACTAGCTAGTAAAAAAAGGTTTTACTTGTATGGCAATGGACACATTAAGATTTGTTACTGCTGAATGTATGACTTTGAGCAAGTCTTTTATTTTCTTGTGTATAAAACTGGAAAATGATGCTTGCCCTCCACCCAGGATTATGGTTAGAATCCAAAGCTGTATTTAATTTATGTGAAAAGTGCTTTAACAATGACAAATGGTATATATTTCTTAGTAACATACACTCCATTTTATTTTTCAAAAGTTTTGTTGTCTTTGCTTTAAATAATGAACTGCAGAATTTTTTAAATCTTAACATTCAGAGGAGAAAAACCATATCCAAATCCCCATACCATGCCATCCCATTTAGTCAGCATTCTTTCATATACTGCACAAATGAATGTATGTGTCATATCTCTGAATCAAATATAGATATCTTTCTATATCAGTATTTATTGCATTTCTTTAATTTTAATTAGTAAGTACAATATGCACAGATTAGTATAAAAAACTGATATTTTGGTTTCTTAGGATTATTATTCCTTACTTGACTCAATTTTGGTTTACTGGTATATTGAGTAATTAAACACATTAAAAACAAATTTATGTGATAAAGTTTTAATATTTAGCATTAATATTAGCAATTTTTCAGAAAATTTTTACAGTAGAATTAATTACAACAGAGTTCATCTTTACACTGGTTTTAGGCTCCCCAAAGTGAAAAATGTAGTATGAAATATTTTAGGATTTTTCTACAATGTGGTTTAACCTTTATGCCAGCAATTTTCAAACTTCTCTTCTCTAGATGCCTTCCCACTTTTAAAAATTATTGAGATTTTCGGAGTGCTTTTTTTTACGTGTGTTATATCAATTTGTATTAGAAATTAAAATAAATATTAAAATCTTTATTTAAAAATAATAAGAAACACATTATACATTACCAGAAATAACATTTTTGTGAAGAATGACTCCTCTAAAACAAAACAAACAAAAAAATACTAAAAAAATGTCTGCTATTTCTTAAATACTTTTAGATGCCTTAGCTGAATTTATGTAGACAACTACAATAATTAATAAATAATATAAATATAAACTGTTATGCATATTCACAACTATATACCTACTTTTGCCCTACCATGTATTTATGTGTACCTTGGTTGTTCTAGAAGGAATTTTAGACATAAGAATCAGGGAAATTACATATTAGAATAGGATGTGAAGTCTAGTAAAAAAATAACCATTGCTTAGTGAATATTCTGTTAATAAAAAAGCAAATACACATTATTATATTAATATTAAAATACAAATTAAACTCATCCATATTCATTTACCATATGAATAAATAAAAGTTCTTTAAAAGCACCAATATTTTTCTATTTGGTTTTTTTCTTTTTTTCTTTTGGAAATCAACAAATCTGGATTCAGTAAGCAGCAGTGTGTGACAGAAGATCCAGGCATTTATTGCTTAAAATATCAAAGGAAAAGTCTCTTATTTTAAGTAATTTATAAATACTGATAAGCTCCTTGCTTCTATTTTGCCATTTAACCATTTAACCTTTGGCATGTAAATGCTTGTGTGACATAACCACTATTACAATGAAATAATACAGTTTATCTATCCAGTTTTTAAATTAATAAATACATAAAGATATTGTATTATTCTTTTTCAGAGTTAAGGAGAACTTTTAATACTTATGCTAAAATGACATGTTTGTAGTGTCTCATTGCTGTTCTTTTATTTGCAATTTTTTCTCTGTAGCTGACTGGAAATATCGACATGCAGGATTAATGGCTTTATCTGCCATTGGGGAAGGATGCCACCAGCAAATGGAAGGAATTCTAAATGAGATAGTAAATTTTGTTTTGCTTTTTCTTCAGGATCCTGTAAGTACCAATAACTGTTTGATTCATAATTATTACTGTAGTTTCAAATGGAAATTAGAAAGCCTTTACTAATACCAAGGAGTATATTCCAGCATCCAAGAGTGAGGTATGCAGCCTGTAATGCAGTTGGACAGATGGCTACAGATTTTGCACCTGGTTTCCAAAAGAAATTCCATGAAAAGGTAAGCAACAAGTCCTCAAATGCTCAAACTCTTAAGAAGAGGGGTAGCATTTCAAAATGTATGCTTATGTGATTTCCTTTCACAGGTGATTGCAGCTCTTCTACAGACCATGGAAGACCAAGGCAATCAGCGAGTGCAGGCCCATGCCGCTGCCGCTCTCATTAACTTTACGGAGGACTGTCCCAAGTCACTGCTTATTCCATATTTGGATAATTTGGTGAAACATCTACATTCCATCATGGTACTTAAACTTCAGGAGGTAAGTTTTAAGATCTTCAACCCCTTATTTAGGTGTTAATTTAGATTAATTTGATGGGAGCAGAAGGACTTTTCAACATGGCTATCAAGAATAGAAAGTTGAGTCTGGCCAGTGTGGCTAAGTGGTTAAGCATTGACCCAGGAACCAAGAGGTCACCGGTTCAATTCCTGGTCAGAGCACATGCCTGGATTGCAGCTCAGTTCCCAGTTAGGGGGAGTGCAGGACGCAGTTGATGGATGGTGTTTCTCTTTCATTGATGTTTCTATCTCTATGTCCCTCTTATTTTCCTCTAAAAATTAATTTTAAGGCATTTTTGTAAGATTATTTTAGAAAAAGAATAGAAAGTTAGAAAGACATTATAAGCCTGATCTGAAAATGATCCATTTTAGAACTAGGTAAGATATTCCCTAAAGGTTAGGTAAAATCAGTATATGAATTATCTTAAAAACAAAGAAGAGTTGTTTTTTAACTCTAATTTAGGTAAATTTGGAAGAAATAATTTATGTTTTTAATTGCTCTAAGGAATCATGGTAATATGATTTTAGGAAATTAACAAAGTAGCATTGTGGGACTTAAAAGGGAAGATGACTTAAGGCAAGAGCATCATGATCATTTTTCAGGGAACTTGGATGGTAATAGTGGAAATTGGGGGGAAAGGTGACTAAAAGACATTTCTTGAGAAAAATGCAGTTTCTTTCTGACAGTTTGAATTTCAAAAGATGAAAGAGAAGGACGTAAACAATGTTGATCTCCTAAACCAGGTCACATAAATAGACATGTGGAAAAGGATTTTATTTATTTTTTTGTTTGTTTGTTTGCTTTAAGTATGTTGTTTTAAAAAATAAGACCTGGCCATTCAAAAAAAAGATGGTTTTAGTTATAGGTTAAGTAAGAGGGGCAGCCTACAAACAGTAGAATGGTGTTAGTAAGCAGTGTTTGAGAAGAAAGATGCAAATAAGAGAAGCAAAGATTGCCCTAGCCAGTTTGGGTCATTGGATAGAGCATCAACCTGAAGACTGAAGGGTCCCGGGTTCGATTCCAGTCTAAAGTTCGTACCTTGATTGCAGGTTCCTTGGCCCTGGTCAGGGAGCAGGCAAGAGGCAACCAATGGTGTTTCTCTCTGTCTCTCCCTCTTCTTTCACTCTCTCTAAAAATCAATGGGAAAATATCTTGGATGAGAATTAACAAGAAGAGAGAGGCAAAGATTGAGTCTCAGTTTTCAAGTATAGTGAAAATAAATTGCTACTATAAAAATAAAATAAATAAAAGAACATAAAAAGCCTTTTTTCTATTATATTTAAAAGATATAAAGTTAGATTGCTGTAAAATTTCTAACACTCAATTCCTATACTTTAATATGAATTAGTAACAGACAAGTTCACAAACCACACTCTGCATAGCACTGGTCTAAAGAACAACAGAAGGACACAGGCTGAAGAACAAAATAAGCAAAAAAACAACAACCAAACCAACAACTCATAGCCACAAACAACAGTATCGTGATTACCAGAGGGAAAGGCGATAGTAAATACACAATAAAATATACAGATGATGTATTAGAGAATTGTATACCTGAGCTTTATTAACCAATGTCATCTTAATAAATTTAATATTTAAAAGAGATACAATGTCTCAGAAGGCAAGTCAATTTTGTAACAAAAGGTATGTACTATATTGCCGAAACTGGTTTGGCTCAGTGGGTAGTGTTGGTTGGTCTGTGGACTGTAGGGTCCCAGATTCAATTCTGGTCAAGGGCATGTACATTGGTTGCGGGCATATCTCCTGTAGGGGGTGTGCAGAAAACAGCTGGTCGATGCTTCTCTCTGATCGATGTTTCTAGCTCTCTATCCCTCTCCATTCCTCTCTTTAAAAAAACCAATAAAATGTATATATATTTTTAAAAGTATGTACTATATGATACATCCATATGATAGCAGAGTAGGAACATGAGTGTATCTGAAGACAAAGATGTAGATCAAGGTTGAAGGCAGATTGGTTGGCTGGTAAAGTCGGGAATAGATCAATCAAATGTGATTTTAGGCTGAAGTGTGAAGAGCAAGAGCATCTATATTTCCCTCCCCTTCCTGCAGAGGGGCAATGTGTAAGATACAGACTGAAGGAAGTAGTTGCTAAGATAGGATGAAAAGGAGGATAAATTATGTGAGCAAGAGTTTTATGAAAAGCGGGTAACTAAGGAAAAAGGACATTCCTTCTTAAACATTAAATATGGAACAGTTACTGAGATACAGAAGAAGAAGGGAATAAATTAACCTCTTAAAATTGTGCTGGAACCCAGTACAAGTGAGGAACTCTCAGAGTGTGTTGTAGAAGAAGGGGAGAAGAAAATCTGGGTGTAGTTACTAAAGCAAGTATTCATGTGAATCCGAAAGGAAGTATAATATTACAGGTGTCAACATAAGCCTAGCTACAAATACCCAATTAGTATTAATTACTGCGTAGGTCAAAGTATACTGTAGATCTCTGGTTCAGGAGAAAGGATCATCATATCGAAGACAGAAGTGAGTGAAAAAGAGGGCACCAGTAGCATCATTAGTGTATCTTCTCAGAAGAGTCCAATTAGAAGAAAGAGGATAGGCATTTGATGGCAAATTTGTGCTCAAAGACTTGCTGTGATGTGAGATAACACAAAAACGAGTAAGGAGGCCTATAGTAACTGAAGAGAGAGAAATCCACATAAATAGTTCAACAGGGATTCTTAAATTTGCTCTAAGACCTATTACCTTCACTCTGGCTGCTAAAGAGTGGTTTCATCTTGCCATTTCAGAAAAACATTTGGAAACTTAGAGTATTTCTTCCAATTTCTCATTTACGTAATGTATTTTGTATGTCTTCCTTCTCCTAGTTGATTCAAAAAGGAACCAAGCTAGTTTTGGAACAAGTTGTGACATCTATCGCATCAGTTGCAGATACTGCAGAGGAAAAGTTTGTCCCCTACTATGACTTATTTATGCCATCACTAAAGCACATTGTTGAGAATGCAGTTCAAAAGGAACTTAGACTTCTCAGAGGAAAAACTATTGAATGCATCAGTCTCATTGGTCTGGCTGTTGGGAAGGAAAAAGTAAGTGATTTACAATATGTAGAATTTACTATAATTTGTCTATGGAAGCATTGAGGGTGCAAGAGGGTTTTTTTCCTTCTGATAAGTGGTTTTCTGGGTGCTTTTTTTTCTCCCATCAGCTTACCCTCACATTCCCTTTTATATATAAACTAAAGGCCTGGTGCGCGAAATTTGTGCGTGGGACATGGGGGCGTTCCCCTCAACCTAGTCTGCACCTTCTCTAATCTGGGATCCCTTGGGGGATGTCCCAGGGATCAGGCCTAAACTGGCAGTCAGATATCCCTCTCACAATCCAGGATCACTGGCTCCTAATCACTCGCCTGCCTGTTTGCCCCCAACTGCACCACCACTCCTAACCTGCCCCCGCCCCCCTTGCCAGCCTGATTGCCCCTCACTGCTGGCCCGGTTGCCCCTAACTGGCCCCCAACCCCCACCGCTGGCCTGGTTGCCCCATGCAGCCTGCAATTCAGTCATTTGGTCATCCCTCATTAATCCCCCTGGCAGCCTGGTCGTAGGCAGCCAGCTACCTTGTGAGGGTGTGAGGGTTAATTTACATATTACTTCTTTATTATAAGGTTAGATTGTTGCCTTCATTTTTTCATTGTTAATATTAAGGTTTTTAATTCAAGTTATACTCTTGAGAACTTCCCCTTTCTTATCACATGTACCGTCTATCTCTTGGGAGCATGTGGAGTTCAGGATCCATGTTTAGTTTTGCTCATTTAAACATTTGCTTGGAAACATTCCAGTTGCTTTTCTGTTCACTTAAAAAACAATCAGGTGACCCTAACTGGTTTGGCTCTGTGAATAGAGCATCAGCCTGCAGACTGAAGGGTACTGGTTGATTCCAGTCAAGGGCACATGCCTGGGTGGCAGGCTCAGTCCCCAGTAGGGAGCATACAGGAGGCAGCCAATTGGTGATTCTCATCATTATGTTTCTATCTCTCTCTCCCTTCCTCTCTGAAATTTATATATATATTTTTTAATCAGATGTCCTAAGAGAGAAATCTTTATATATATATAGCTTTTCAGAATATAATTACCAAGGAGCATTGGCCATGTGTTTTTTCTTCCCAACCAACAACTCAGAGTTGTCAAAGCTAATCTAAAAGACATTCTTCTGTCATCCACCCCTCATGTTCTGATTCTCAGAACTACTAACATAGAACCCCTCACTGTGGTTTCTAAAACCAGCATCAGTATTAACTTAGCTTATAAATTGTTTTCTGTGGGATACCGAGAAGCTAACTCTTAAAACATTTTTATGTTACATACTCTATATCTGGCTTTCAAGTATTTTTATATCACTGCCTGTTTATATAATAGAGATTGCCAGAACCACAGTAAAATGAAAATCATATAGGTCTATGGAGCAATCCAAAAATTTTTTTCTGGATTTGGATTATCATTTTACTGGTGGAAATGCATAAGCCATAGACCAGAATTTAATGCCATTAGGAAAAAAATTTTCTATTGCAATTCACTTTGACTTTAGCAGAAAGTATTTTTATAGAAAGAGCACTATGTCTTTTGCAATATGGTGAAAATTTTTCAATATAATACTTTTTTATCTGAGGGGATATGATTAATATGGGAAATGTAATAGATCTTTTGGGCAAGTTTTATTATTACACAAGAAACATTAAGTACCTCTTTGATTTGATATTATACAAGAGTCATATTGGTGTTGTTTTTCTTAAATATTTTTTTCTAGTTCATGCAAGATGCATCGGATGTGATGCAGCTATTGTTGAAGACCCAGACAGACTTCAGTGATATGGAAGATGATGATCCTCAGGTAAAGCAGCCTAAATATGTTCCATCCTTAATCCATTTAGGAGTTTCAGCTAGCACAAGGTTAAATGTACTTTAAAAAAAAAAAAAAAAAAAGCCGAAACCGGTTTGGCTCAGTGGTAGCGCCTCGGTCTGCAGACTGAAAGGTCCGAGGTTTGATTCCGGTCAGGGGCATGTACGTTGGTTGCGGCACATCCCCAGTAGGGGGTGTGCAGGAGGCAGTTGGTCGGTGTTTCTCTCTCATCGACGTTTCTAGCTCTCTGTCTCTCTCTCTCTCTCCCTTTCTGTAAAAAAATCAATAAAAATATATTTTTTAAAAAAAGGAAAAATAGGTTTCCTGAGCAATATTAACCATACGTTTCAGAACCATTCTTCACTGGTTTGACTTGAACTTCTCATAAGTATTCACAATGCCTAACATAAAATAAGGACTTAAATAGTTTTAATTGAATTTTTACTTTTTTCTCAGTTTGCTGTACTTGCTCCTTCTTCTCAACTCTCAATGTTTTGATGCTCGTGAGAGTCTGTCATAGACCCTCTTTTTTCATGCCCCTCGAGCAGTGTCATTCACAATCATGGCCTCGGTTCTGCTTGTGACTTCCAGATCTTTCTCTGAATTTGGGCTTCATTTATCCAAACACGAGGCATCTCTATTTGGATGTCTCTTAGTCCTTTGAATTCCATATAAATTCCCCTCCCCTGTCAAAAGAAAAGAAATGCAGAAACCTAACTATCTTAGAATATGCCATGTTCTCTTCTCTCTGCCTATGACTACTAGTAAACAGATATTTTTTTTAACTCAGAAAGAACCCTCCCCCACTCAACCTGGCTAACTCCTGCTTATATTTCACATCCAGTGTCAGTTTCAATTGCAGGTACTTATGACACTTGTAATAATTGTAATTGTTCATCCTAATCTTAATTGTACTTAGAATGCCTAACATAACACAGGCACTCAATAAATAGTTTGATTAAATTTTGGCTTTACACAGCCACACTATAATTATTTCCCTTACCCTCAAAATTGTATTTTTGTTTTGTTTTTCTAAATTAGAAGTGGGAAGCAATGTATGTGAGATAGATATATAGATAGATATAGGGGAGTAAGAAATCCCTTTCTGGGTTACAGAGCCTAGATTCTCTATAGGTAAGTAAATCTATGTAAACACAGTAGTAGAAGAGGTGTCAAATAGACCAGCCACTAACACAGAAAATTACAACACCTACAAGAAAGGGATGTTTTGTTTCTTGGGTGTTAATGTTTAATGGATGGAACACTAGGCAGTAGGGATAGAAAGTCAAAGTGTGTCTGTCTTCAAAAAAAAAAAAAATAGTGCCTAGGATTTTAAGTAGGTTTTATTTATATGACTCAGATGACAGTAGGGAAAACTGTTACTTCTTGAACGTAGGAAAGATAGATATGATCCTGGTCTTTCTATATTGCTTCACTTGCTGTGACTATATCCCAGTGTAGAGGTTCCCAGTGATGTTATTATTTCTGAACGTTTTAAGTTTATGACCTTAGAAAATGCTTAAAAGCCATGAATGTAAAATAAAACATTATTTCTATGAAATAGGTAATTACTTTGTCTTATTTACCTATTGTTTTTTAAGTTAATTTAATTTTCACTTTCTCCCCAGATCTCTTACATGATCTCAGCATGGGCCAGAATGTGCAAAATCCTTGGAAAAGAATTTCAGCAATATCTTCCAGTGGTCATGGGGCCTTTAATGAAGACAGCTTCAATTAAGCCTGAAGTAGCCCTTTTAGATAGTAAGTGTCTTCATGAACACAGGAATGGTAAAATTTCTCTTTGTTACTAATTTTAACATGATTTTTTCTGCTCTCTCTGAAATAGCCCAAGACATGGAAAATATGAGTGATGATGATGGTTGGGAGTTTGTGAACCTTGGAGACCAGCAGAGTTTTGGTATTAAAACTGCAGGATTAGAAGAAAAATCAACTGCTTGTCAGATGCTGGTAAGTGATAATGTTTAAACATTATTTAACAACTTCTCATAAAAACATATAAAAAAAATATATATATATATATGGTAGCAATGCTTTTAATAGATGCTAAGAAAACTATTTTGAAGAGCAAGAATATATTCTTTGAAAAATGTAGAAATCTACTTCTGGATTTTCATCCTGAAGAAATCGTGTGGATACAACTTTTCATTATCAGTGCTTTTTTTAATAACAAAAAAACAAATAGCCTGAATGCCTGTTATTAGGAAGGTGATCAATAATTACAATACTTTGGAGTATTACAAAGCCATGGAAGGCAAGGATTTTTGTGTTTTGTGCTTAGTGGTAAGCCAGGAATATTTTTTGAATGAACAGAAATATACTCATGATGTTAAAAATAAAACTGGTATCTTTTCAGTTGTGTAAACAAAAACATGGTAGCAAAATTAAAATGTTCACAATAATTATCTTGTGGTATTAAGGAGTGTGTGTTTAATCTTTGAGTTTTTCTGTTTTATTTTTTTCTTTATGAGTATGTTATAGACAGTGAGGTTTAATGTATTAGGTCTAGTAATAATTAATGTCGTTTTCTAATACCTTTTTTAAGTCGAATTTATTTAAACAATACAACAAAATTTAATCAACAATATAGTTGCCGTTGTTTTCTACTACTTGTGCCCAACGCTCAGGAAGCATTTTCATCCCTCTGTTGTAAAATTCTTGTGATTTTGATGCAAAAAATTCGGTCAATGCATTTTTGAGGCATTCTTCATTATTAAATTTTTTTCCAAGAAGAAAGTTTTGCAAAGAACAAAACAAATGGTACTCAGAAGGGGCAAATCAGGAGAATATGCAGGTTGAGGGAGAACTTCCCACTCCAACTGGTGCAGTTTTTCAGCAGTGATTCTTGTAGTATGCGGTCGTGCGTTATCGTGGTGAAGAATTACGCCCTTCCGATTAATCAGCGTGGGTTCTTTTTCTCTTAAAGCTTGGGCTAACCTTTCCAATTGGGCACTATACACTGCACTTGTAATGGTTTGGTTAGATGGTAAAAGTTCATAATGAAGAATTCCTTTAAAATTCCACCAAACACACAACATCACTTTTTTCGCATGCAAGTCAGGTTTTGGCGTGGGCTGCGGAGCCTCATTTTTGTCCAACCATTGAGGCCGCCTTTTCAAATTAACATACAGCACCCAGTTTTCATCTTCGGTACCAATTTGCTCTAAAAACGGCAAACGGTTTTGACGAGAGAGGAGCGAACTGCAAATTGTGACTCTTTGATTACGGTTGTTGTCGGTCAACTCAGGAGGAACCCATTTTCCAAACTTTTGGACTTTGCCAAGTGCACGCAATGGATTGGAAATTGTTTTTTGTGAACAATTTAAAGTTGTCGCAAGCTCTTGTTGGGTAATTTGAGGATTTTGCACCAAAAGAGCTTGAAGAGCTTCTTGATCAAAATTGGGCACAGGGCCTCGACCACTCTTGTAATCTAAGGAAAAATTTCTCTCGTGAAATTTCTCAAACCAACGCTGTCATTTTCTGGCGCTAACTGCATCTTGACCAAGAGCACTACAGATGTTTTTTGTAGCCTCACTTGCTTTTCTTCCTAATTGGAACTCGTAAAGCATGCAGTGCCGAATATGCTCTTCATCCGCCATCTTCTTAGCCCTAGTTTTGCAACAAAAACCAAACCAAACACAAACTTTTTCAAGCAAAACTTGTTAATTGCACTTCACACGTTCTGTAGATACCACGTGTTTGAAGGTTATGTCAATACAAGTCAACGCCAAGCAAGATTTTAAACGAATGTTTAAAACGACATTAATTATTACTAGACCCGATATTTCACTATTAAAATGAATCTTTACAAATTAGCATGGGCCTGTTGCTACAGATTTACAAAATAAATGATATGCTAAAATTAAGTTTAAATATATCACTTAAGAAAAAAAAAACAATTTACCTTTAAATTGTTTTGTTTTTTGTTTGTTTTTGTTTTGTTTTATTAAGTGATGTATTTTGTTGGTAGTATTTTCTTTTTTTTTTTTTTTTTTTTTTTTTTTTTTTTTTTAAATATATTTTATTGATTTTGTACAGAGAGGAAGGGAGAGAGATAGAGAGTTAGAAACATCGATGAGAGAGAGTCATCGATCAGCTGCCTCTTGCACACCCCCTACTGGGGATATGCCCGCAACCAAGGTACATGCCCTTGACCGGAATCGAACCCGGGACCCTTCAGTCCCCAAGCCGACGCTCTATCCATTGAGCCAAACCGGTCTCGGCAGTATTTTCATTATAAGACTGCTGAATCTTGATAAATTTACACGAGACATTAAAAAAAAAGAGCATTCCCGACTTGAATGACAATATACTATATATACAATAATAATTTCATGGCACTTTTCAGTTTACCTTTTTATGTTACAAGACTAATTTGATAATCATGCATGCATTAAATGTAATTCTAGTTAGGATACAACATTTTCTGGTTCTTAGATTCTTCTGTTTGTGAATAAAAATATCTGTAAACTAATGTGGATCTTGATTTCTTTTCCAATACTTTGGTTTCAGGTTTGCTATGCTAAGGAGTTAAAGGAAGGCTTTGTGGAATATACCGAACAGGTTGTCAAACTGATGGTTCCTTTACTGAAATTTTATTTCCATGATGATATCCTACAATATTTGATGTAAAACATGTTTAGATTTAGTTAAATTGTAGCTTGTGCAGGTATTATTAATTGAAGGGTACATCATCATTATTGTTTGTGTTTGTACTAACTGTACTTTCAGGTTATAAATTTGGTTCTTTGTTTCACCTGAGCCAAAAACACAAAAAAAGAAAATGTTACCTATCCTCTAGTTGGCAGTTTTCTATGGCCCACTGAAGGATTTTAAGGATTAATATTTTATTATTAGCAAATGTTTACATTGTATATAATTGCTACTTTTCCTAAATGACTTTTTGTAATGTTAAAAAAGTAAGACCTTTTATAATAAGTTAGAAACCCACTAATCCTTAACTTACTGCAGCACAGAATCCTACATTTCAAATGAAGATAGCACCTTTGGGGAGAAACATCTCTTGGTAAATCTGCATATGTTCACTCCTCACCTTAATTAATATATATAAGTCCATTTTTGTTTTGCCTTTTCGCACACACAAAATTTCATAGATGGGTATAAAAAGGGACAACTGAGCCCAGATCTATCTGCCTCTGGAGTCCTTGGTTGTGGTTCCTCATTTGATATTCTGTGAAGTGTCCTTTACAGAAGAGGCTTTTGCCCACTTCCCATGATGCAAAAGGACAAAACGTTGTTTTTAAGAGGAAGTCTTGAGACCCCTTTTTACAAATGGTGTTAGATTGGGAGAGGCAACTTAATCATTGAAAACAAAAAAGGCTAGTATAGGAAGAGACCCCCAAGGGTCCCACTGGTTTTTTCAGTCATTTTTTATGTTTTTGGTTTACATTGGAGGTTCATTCTTGCTATATTGTAGGTGAGATAAAAGATAGGAGGTATGCCTTATGAGCAGGGAGACTTCCTGCTCACATGTCATATTTAACACAAGCTCTTGGATGGCAGTCTTAGATAAATAGAAGTTGCCTACCACTCCTGTTAACTCAATGAGCACTTAAGTAAGCAAAATGATAGAACAGGCTTTTGAGGACAGTGATTATATTTCCTTAACTATAAAACGTGTTCGAGTGGCAGCAGCAGAATCCATGCCTCTGCTCCTGGAATGTGCAAGAGTTCGAGGTCCTGAGTATCTCACACAGATGTGGCATTTTATGTGTGATGCTCTAATCAAGGCTATTGGTACAGAACCAGATTCAGATGTCCTCTCGGAAATAATGCATTCTTTTGCAAAGGTAAATATTTTTCTCTTAAAAATATGTTTAAGGTTGGGTGTTCATTTATTAGTCTTGCTAAATATATTGGGGGATTTTATTGATTTCAAAAAGGAAGGGAGGGAGATAATAGAAATATAAATGATGAGAGTACAATTTATTGGCTGCCTATTGTTCACCCCTTATTGGGACTCGAGTCCACAACTCAAATGTACCCTGACCAGAATCTATCTGCAACCTCCTGGTTCATAGGTCAACGCTTAACCACTGAACCACACCAGCTGGGCTAAAGTCAAAACCATTCAGTTCTTTTAATGTTTTATTGTCATTTTGTACTGTGTGTTTTTGTTTGCTTTTGTTTTATTTAAGAATAGCGCCTCTGGTATTCCAGGCTTGAGTATCATCTCCAACTCCCATGTAGTTTCTGTCTTAGTCTCCCATATTCCTCTTTTTTCCTCCCTGTTGCTTTTTCTCTCCTTTGTGCTGTTTTTATATCGTCAGTTGGTTTGTTCCAGAAGTTGCTTTTTATTTTCGTCCCGGTTCTTTTCTCAAGAATTAACTTGCCTTTTGTTTGAATCTCATTCACTTTCCCATGTTCTTGGTTACCACCATAGCACACAGCTCCACAACTTGCTCCACAGTTTGGTTTAAAAATTCTTCAGCATCTTTGTTTGTCCCCATTTACACTCCTGCACTTTAAAATTTTATTTTTCCAAAGGCCAGATTTTTCTGTAATATCCTTGTCTGCCCATATTATTCCCTCTGTCTGTAATGCCCTTTCATGGCAGATGTACCTTTTCTCCACTGCTGTCTTTTAAGGAGTATGTGTGTAATTGAGCTCCTAGAAGTGAGTTGGTCTGTTCCATCTTTGAACCCTCAGCAACCAGCATAATGTCTGGCACTTAAGATATGCCAAGGACAAGTTTTTAAAATATATATTTTAAATTTTTTTTCTTTAAATACTGGCATGTTAACAAAAAAAAAAAAACAAAAAAAAAAAACCCACACAGGTGTATCTACTCACTTAATAGTTAGTTTCCATGATACTGAATCATATTAATTTTTCTCAGATTCTCTGTGATTCTTAATGAAGTTCAACTTTTGACTCTTAAAAATACATAAATCTCATGGGTTGCTTTCTTTGCTCAACCGCATTTTAGTGCATTGAAGTAATGGGAGATGGATGCCTTAATAATGAACACTTCGAAGAATTGGGAGGTATACTGAAAGCTAAACTCGAAGAACATTTTAAAAATCAAGAATTGCGGCAAGGTAAGTTTTTTATGCTTTTATTTTTTAATGTAATACCTGGCCATTTTGATGACCATTTAAAAAGACATTTATTTGGGTATGTTTTAGTTAAAAGACAAGATGAAGACTATGATGAGCAAGTGGAAGAGTCACTGCAAGATGAGGTAAAACGTTAAGAAATTAATTTATATAACCATTTGCGTCTGGAAGATTTTTAAATGCTTAAGACTATAATTCATCTGACTTGTCATTCTGTTGTAATTATCAGTAATCTTTAGCAGAATACTGACATATTTCATTCATGTGTGTAGAGAATGAGTAATTTGAAATTAGTTGATTTGTGTTTTGAATGCTGGTTGTGCATTTTGTTGCAATACTTTATACATAAAAGTACTTTGGAGTTCATCTAGTATTTTAAATACCTTCTTATCATAACCATTTGTATTTGGTGGTGCTTTCACTATGTTAAAGATACTTGAATGTGATTCAGATGATAAATGACTGCCTAAAGCCACACGCTGTTGAAGACCTAGGGCTTAAGGCCAGATTTTTTTTGTAACATCGGCTATCTTTCTAATGGACCACAGGATAATGCAGATTTCCTTCTAGTAAATAATGTACATGCACTGGTTAATAGAATTCTTCACCTTGTGACTCAGTTCTCTCCTCATCAAACCACTTGACACCATCAAACATATTTCAGCTATGTATTTCAAATCCAGAATGTGTGGCATGTTGCCATCCTGGAGGACCAGGTCTTCCCAGTTCTCTGCAGGGTGTTCACATGCTGCTGTACTAAAGTCAACTAGATGTTATAAGTAACTGACCCACCATCCCACTCCAAAATTAAAAATGTTCTTGAAAAGTAAAAAGTAAAATACCTTTGTTTCAGAATTTTGAAATTTTGGATAATTTTTCAGTCACATATATTTTACTGTGTACCAAGAAAAATCTGCAGTAAGTGCAGTACAATACTTGCAAAACATTTATCTTTCCCTAGATAAGAGGCATGACACTCAGTCATTGAGGTAACCTCAGATTCTTGCTATGCTTTTAAGAAAGTGATAAGAAATTTAATTTTCTATGTTTCTTAGATATTAAAAAGATGATTTTTAATGTTAATAATGGGGGTACTTTTTAATACATATGAGTGTGTTTTGTTTTAGGATGATAATGATGTTTATATTCTGACCAAAGTGTCAGACATTTTACACTCAATATTCAGTAGCTACAAGGAAAAGGTGTTACCATGGTTTGAACAGCTGCTTCCATTAATTGTCAACTTAATTGTAAGTATTGCCTCTCCTTGACAGTTATTTTAGATAGTTGGTTTGGAATTTTTTCATTGCAACATTTGGAAACTTACACTTTGAAATTAAAATGGGTCTTAGAAATCACAGTTTTTCACTGTGCATCTTTAATTTTGTCAAAATTATTGCATTCCCCTGTATATTTTCTCACTCAGTGTGTACTTTAAGTTTGCTAATTGGTCTTTCCATAGTCCAATTAAATTATAATCTAAAGACATATATATGATTTTAAATTTCAGATTATCTATGCCTTACTATTAATAAATGAAAACAAAATGATTACATTTTTTTGCAATGTACCCTACAGAATTCAGTTATGACAACCAGTAATCAGATTTGGGTGATAGCCTCATATATTTCATTTTTTTAAATATAAAGTGATAGCCTCATATATTTCATTTTTTTAAATATAAAGTAAATGTATGTACATTGTTGCCACTGTCAGTTCTTCCTGGTATATGGTAGTGTCACATTGTGGAATTCTGTGACAAATTACACAAGGCTTTTAAACCATTACTTATTTAAATCTGTATAGTACTTTGAGGATTTTTATTCACAAGAAGTGATTGTTGCTTTTGTCTTTCCTTGCCTGTATCAGGAATATTTGTGGAAGCCAATAGCCTATAGTGACTATTTATGTATTTATTTATATTTGTATGTATTTCAATATTCAAAGCTTAAAAGAGTATCTCTTTTGTAGTGTCCACATAGACCATGGCCAGACAGACAATGGGGATTATGCATCTTTGATGATGTTATAGAACACTGTAGTCCTGCCTCATTTAAATATGCAGAATATTTCTTAAGGCCAATGCTCCAATATGTATGTGACAGCAGCCCAGAAGTCAGGCAAGCAGCTGCGTATGGCCTGGGAGTCATGGCACAGTATGGTGGAGATAACTATCGTCCTTTTTGTACAGGTACTGGTGTTTATTTGGTTACACGCATGTCCTTCTAGGCATCTCTTTTGTTTTTACCTCATGCTCCCTCTGTACCCCCAAACATTCTCTACCTATTCATCTGTAGCCCTTTATTCTCATAGAAATGTAAATGAAATGTGAATGGAATCAGAACCTCTCCACCTTGATTTTATTTTGGGTTTGGGGGATATATCACAGTTCTAACATGGGACTTTTTAAAATGTTTTTATTAAATTTATTGGGGTCACATTGGTTAATAGCATCATACAGATTTCAAGTGTACTTTTTTCCCCCCTCCTTTTTATTAGTACTCACCTGAGGATTCCAGTGATTTTTTTTTTTTAGGGAGAGTGGGAGAGAGAGGAAATGACAGAAATGTCTATGTGAGAGAAGCACATCGATTGGTTGCCTCCTGCATGAGCCTTGATCAGGGCCCGGGCTGGACAGGACCCTGCAGCCAAGGTATGTGCCCTTGCCTGGAATTGAACCCAGGACCCTTTGGTCCACAGGCTGACACACCCATCCGCTAAGTCAACCTAGGGCAAGTGTATATTTCCGTGATACAAGATCTGTATATTGCACTGTGTGCCCACTACCCAAAGTCAATCTTTCTAGACCCTCTTCCACACCTCTTCCACACACACACACCATCCTTTTCCCTTTGGCAACCACCACACTGCTGTTTTTGTCTCTGCATTTCAATTTTATATCCCACATTTGAGTGAAGCTTTTCTGACTGACTTATTTAGTTTAGCATAATATTCTTAAAGTCCTAGCTTTCCTTATAGCCTAGTAGTATTTCATTATGTATATACTAGAGGCCCGGTGCATGACAGTGGGAGTCCCCTCAGCCTGGCCGTGCCCTTTAGCAGTCCGGGGCCCTTGGGGGATGTTGGACTGATGAGCCTGATGATTTAGGCCTGTGGGCCTGAGGCACAGTCAGACATCCCTAGAGCTGCCACGTAGGCGGGAGAGGCTCCCACCACCGCCTCTGCGTTCACCAGCCATGAGCCTGGCTTGTGACTGAGGCAGCACTCCCCTGTGGGAGCCTGACCACCAGGGGGCAGCTCCTTCATTGAGTGTCTGCCCCTTGGTGGTCAGTGTGTGTCACAGCGACCAGTCCTTCCACTGTTCGGTCGATTTATTATCTAGTACTAGAGGCCCATGCATGAATTCATGCATTGGTGGGGTTTGGCCAGCCCACCCTGATGGGGGCCATCGGGACCAGGCCAACAGTGGTGGGGGAGGAGGACATGGGCTGGGCATGGCCGGCTGAGGGGAGAAACCACAGGAGGTTGGGTGGGCCACCGATTGGGGCCCTTGATTGGCCTAGGCACTGCAGTGCACATCATAGTGACTGGTGGTTCCAGCCGCTTGGCTTTTATATCTATAAATGTACATCTTTATACAATCCTCTATCACAGGACACATTGGTGGCTCCATATCTTAGCCACCATGCATAAAGCTGCAATGAACAAAGGGGTGCATATATCTTCACAAATATATGTTTCAAGTTTTTCAGATATATGCCCAGGAGAGTGATTGCTGGGTCATATGTAACTCTATTCTTAATATTTCCAGGAATCCTCAGACTGTTTTCTATAGTGGCTGTACCCGTCTATATTCCCAACAGCAGTGAATGAGAATTCCCTTTTCTCTACAACCTCTCTAACACTTATTATTGCTTGTTTTATTGATATTTTTAGCCATTCTAACGGGTGTGGGGTAGCAGTAATCTCATTGTAGTTTTGATTTGCATTTTCCTAATTGCTAGTGAAGTTAAACATCTTTTCATATTATCTGCGGGCCATTTATATGTCTTTTTGGGGGGCGGTGTCTGAGTCCTCTGCCCATTTTTTAATTGGGTTGTTTGGTATTGAGTTTTATGAGTTCTATATATATATTGGATATTAAATCTTTTTCAGAGCTTTGTTTGAAAATATTATATCCCGTTTGGTCTGCTTCCTCTTTATTTTGTTGTCTGTTTCTTCTGCTATGCAGAATTAGTTTAATATAGTCCCATTCATTTACTTTTGTCTTTACTTCCCTTGCCTTTGGGGTCAAATTTATAAAATGTTCTCACAGCCAAAGTCCATAAGTTTAGTACCTATGTTTTCTTCTGTGTGATGTACTGTTTTAGATTTTATAATCAGATCTTTGATCAATTTTTAATTAATGTTTATACATGGTAATAAACTAATCTAATTTCAGTTTTTTGCTTGTGGCTTTTCAATTTTCCCAGCACCACTTATTGAAGAGGCTTTCTTTTCTCCATTGTGTATTTCTGGCTGCTTTTTCAAACGTTATTTGCCCATTTACATTGACCTGTGTGTCTGTTTTTCTGCCAGTGTTATGCTGTTTTGATTATCATAGCTCTGTAGTGTAATTTGGAGTCCAGTAATGTCTGGGCATTTTAATTTTTTTTATTCTTCCAATCAATGAACATAGAATACTGTTCCATTTTGTTGTGTCTTTTTAAATCTCTCTTAATAATGCTTTGTAATTTTCAGTAGCTAGGTCTTCCACATTCTTTGTTAAGTTTATTCCTAGGTATTTTATTCTTTTGGTCACAATTGCAAAAGGAATTTTTTTTTCCTATTAACTTTTCTGAGGTCTCATTGTTAGTATACTGGAAGGTGATGGATTTTTGCCCATTGATTTTGTATTTATAAAATGTTCTCACAGCCAAAGTCCATAAGTTTAGTACCTATGTTTTCTTCAGTGTGACTTACTGTTTTAGATTTTATAATCAGATCTTTGACTGTATTTGTTTATTGTTTCAAATAGCTTTTTGGTATAGTCTTTAAGGTTTTCTAAATATAGAATCATATCATCTCTAAAAAGTGACAGTTTCTTCCCTGTTAGGATGCCTTTTATTTCTTTCTCTTGCCTTTATTACTCTGGCTAGTACTATGTTGAATAAGAATGGGCATCCTTGTAATGTTCCTAATGTTAAGTTATTTCAGATTTCTGTTGTTTCTTGAGATAGGCCCATCCTATATAATAAAAACCTAATATGTAAATCGGCTGAGTGGTGGAACCACTGATCGCTATGACACACACTGACCACCACAGAGCAGACATTCAGCGCAGGAGCTGCCCCCACCCCACAGGCCACAGGCCAGCCAAGACGGGTGCCAGCAGGGACCCCCTGATCGCCCCACAAAGGGAGGCGATTGGCGGGAGGCAGGACCAGCAAGTGCGCAGTGCCAGGCAGGCCAAGGCAGGTGCCAGCGGGGGCCCTGTAATTACCCTGCCAGTTGCTCCACACATCGGGCCTGAACACTGGCCAAGTCTAGGGACCCTGCCCGTGCACCAATTTTGTTCACCAAGCCTCTGGTAATGATATAAACTTCTCTCATTACTGCTTTCACTGCATCCCAGAAGTTTTGTTATATCAGATAGAAATTCTCATTTGTCTCTATCTTTTGATCTCATCTTTTATTTCTTTGACCCAGTCATTTTGTAGTAGTATGTTGTTTAATCTCCACGTATTTGTTGGTTTCTTTACTTCCATTTTGTAGTTGATTTCTAATTTCAGTGGTAGAAAATATACTTGGTATAATTTCAATGTTTTTGAATTTGTTGAGGCTAGTTTTATGACCCAACATATGGTCTATCCTTGAGACTGTTCCATGTGCACTGGAGAAGAATGGTATAATCTGGTGTTCTGGGATGAAGTGGTCTGTAAATATCAAATATATCCATTTGGTCTAGTGTATCATTTAAAGGCCAGTATTTCTTTATTGATTTTCTGTTTGGATGACCTATGTAGCACTGTCGGTAGAGTATTAAGGTCCTCAACTATGATTGTGTTTTGATCTTTCTCCCTTTTTTTCTGTTAATAGCTGCTTTATGTATTTCAGTGCTTCCTGATATTTTTCAAGAAGAGTTAAGTCTTCTTGATGTAGTGTCTCCTTTATCATTATAAAATGTCCATTATTGTCTCTTATTACCTTGAAACCTATTTTGTTAGATATAAGTATGGCTACGCCTCTTCTTTTGTTGTTGTTGTTGTTAACCTCACCTGAGAATATTGTTTCACTTATTTTTAGAGAGAATGGAAGGGAGGGGGAGATAGAAACATCAATGTGAGAGAAACACATTGATTGGTTGACTTCACATGTGCCCCTACCAGTGCCAGGGATCAAGCCTGCAAACATGGTACGTGCCCTTTACCAGAATCAAACCCGGGACCCTTCGGTCTGATGACCGATGCTCTATCCACTGAGACAAACTGGCTAGAGCTGCACCTGTTTTTCTGTGGATGTTATTTGCTTTAAGAATCTTGTTTTTGTTTTTTTTGTTTTTAACTCTTATGTTTTATTGATTTTGGAGAGAAAGATAGAACCATTTGTGAGATGGGAGAAACAGCAATCAGCTGCCATCTGCACACTGCCTACTGGGGATCAAGCCTGCAACTGGGGCATCTGCCCTGACTGGCAGTCAAACCAGGGCCTCTTATTGCATGGGACAACACTCAATCCATTGAGCCACACTGGCTAGGTTTCACCCTTTGGGTTTATTTTTGCCTTTGCAGCTTAGATATGTCTTATCTGCTACTCTCTTCCTTTTTATTGGTGAAGTCAGTCCCTCTACATTTAGGGTAATTTTGATGTATGAGGATTTCCTATACCTATTTTATTCTTTATTTTCTGGAAGCTCTGTGACGCCTTGTGTTCTTTTCCTTTGTGTTTCTGTCATTTTTGTTTGGAGGTATTTTATACTTTTTCTCTGTTTCCTTTTTTTTAAGCCATGTGTCTGTTTTGGAGGTTGTGTGTGGTTACCATTAGGTTTATGAAAAAGTTGCATATTCACAACAGTATATATGCATCTGATCTCCATCCTCCTTTGCCAGTTCAGGCCTTTATCCCCTCCCCTTTTATGTTTTTGTTATCATAAATTATCCCTGTTCATGCTGTAAGTTGATCTTTACTCACACATAGTGTTGTGACCTTATGCTCTTTGTTTCAGGTGGAATAACCCCCTTGAGTATTTCCTGCAATGGAAGTTTTCTGGTGATAAATTCCCTCAGCATCTGTATGTCTGGAAAAGTCTTTATTTCTCCTTCATATTTAAAAGATAACTCTACTGGATATATTATCCTATATAATAAAAGGGTAATATGCAAATTGACCCTAACAGCAGAATGACAGGTCACTATGATGTGCACTGACCACCAGGGGGCAGACACTCAAGGCAGGAGCTGTCCCTGGTGGTCAGTGCACTCCCAAAAGGGGAGCTCCGCTCAGCCAAAAGCCACAAGCTGGCTGACAGCTGCAAGCACAGCAATAGTCGCGGGATCCTGTCCCGCCGCCTCAGCAGCGCTAAGGATGTCTGACTACAGCTTAGGCCTGCTCCCCTGAGGGTCCGGAGCTGCCAGAGAGATGTCTGACAGCAGTTTAGGCCCATTCCCTCGGCAGTGTGCCTAAGCCAGAAGGTGGGCATCCCCTGAGGGGTTCCAGACTGCAAGAGTTTGCAGACCAGGCTGAGGGACCTCCTGAGTGCACGAATTTTCATGCACTGGGCCTCTAGTTGTAATATATTAATCTTGGCTGGTATTTTCTCTTTCAGTCATTTGAATATTTGGTTCTACTCTCTTCTGGCTTGTAGAGTTTCTGCTGAGAAGTCTGATGATACCCTGATGAGTTTCCTTTATAGGTGATTTCTTTTCACTTGCTGCTTTGAGAATTTTTAATTCGTTATTAATTTTTGGATAGTTTTAATACAATATGCCTTGTAGAGAACCTCTTTGGATTGAGGTAACTAGGAGTTGTGTTTGTTTCTTGGATTTAAGGATCTAGTTCTTTCCATAAATTTGGGAAGTTCTCATCCATGATTTGTTTGAATAGGCTCTTTGATCCTTTCTCCCTTTCTTCTTCTGATATGCCTATTATTCTCATATACTGGAGAGTCAGTACACGAAATTCCTGCACTAGAGAGGGGCATTCCTCAGCCTGGATTGTGAGAGGGCCCAGGCCAGGCCAAGGGACTCACTGGTGCACAGTTGGGGCCAGGGGAGGACACGGAAGGGCTCCAGAGTGTGTCCAGCCCATCACTCAGTCCTGATTGGCCAGATCCCAGCAGCAAGTTAATCTACTAGTCAGAGTGCCTGCTCCCTGGTGGTCAGTGCATGTTGTAGTGAGCAATGGAGCAGTCTTAGCATATCAGCATATTACACTTTGATTGGTTGAATGGATGACCAGACACTTAGCATATTAAAGTTTTATTATATAGAATTGCTTTTTCTGAAGGAGTCAGTTTTTGTAGTGCTCTTCCTTTTTTTTTTTTTTTTTTTAATAAATTTTATTGATTTTTTTTTTTTTTTTTTTTTTTTTTTTTGCAGAAAGGAAGGGAGAGGGATAGAGAGTTAGAAACATCAATGAGAAAGAAACATTGATCCTTTTGGGGATGTGCCCACAACCAAGGTACATGCCCTTGACAGGAATCGAACTTAGGACCTTTCAGTCCACAGGCCAACGCTCTTATCCACTGTGCTAAAAGGTTTTGGCCCTTTTTAAAAAATATATTTTTTATATTGATTTTAGAGAGGGAAAGGAAGATAGAAAAATCAATTGATGAGATAGAATCATTGAGCAGCTGCCTGCTGCATACCCCACACTGGGAATTGAACCCACAACCTGGGCATGTGCCCTGACTGGGAATCAAACCATGATATTTTGGTTTTTAGGTTGACAATCACTGAGCCACAGCAGCCAGGCTCGTTTCTGTCCTTCCTTTCTTTCTTGTTTACTTTCTTTCTCTCTTCCCTTTTCTCTTTCTTTCTTTCTCCCTTTCTCCTTTTCCTTCTATGTTCAGGTCTCTTCCTTCTGCACCTTCCCATTCTCATTTGCCATTCTTCCTTCCTTCCATCATTTCTAGATTCCTAATTCGACATCACTAATTTTTTTCTCCATCTGGTCTGCTCTGTTTCCTATGCTCAGTAGTTTACTCCTAATCTCCATAATTGAATGCTCATTTCCAGGGTTGTTTGTTTTTTGTTTGTTTGTTTGTTTGTTTAAGTTTCAGTCTCTTTAATCAAGTATGTAACGTTAACTAATTTGTTTTCTGATTGCATTGAATTGCCTGTCAGTATTTTCTTGTGTTTTATCACACATTTCCATGTGTTCCAGTTTGCTTTCTGGGGATTTTTATTTTATTTCTGAACTTACTCACTACCATGGTTATTCATTGTATTTGCTGGTCTCTTCTTTCTAGGCATCTATGTATTATTGGCTTTCTCGCAAGAGGTCTTCTACTATTTTCTAGTAGGTGGTGCTGAATCACAGATTTTTACCTCTGTGAAATCTTACAGCTGACCTCCACAGCTGTTGTACAACCCTGCTGCTTGGGGGTGTGGTGGTTTTTTGTTTTTGTTTTTTGCCTCTTGGTAATGTTGATTCCAGACCTGCTTACAGAAGGAAAAGGGAGCCAGTGATTCTGCTGCAATAGCTCTCCGTTTGCAGATAATATGCTCCACCCAAGACCATGGGCGCTGGGAAGCAAATTTTGAGAGCCCAAGGGGTATGGCAGGGTTCTGTGGGTCCGTTCCTTTGTCTGAAATGCCTACTGCTCGATAGCAGACAGCAGCGGCAAAACCCCTGTACTATGTCCTTGCTGCAGTCTCAGCTGGCTCAGCTGCTGTTCCTCACTGCTCATGGAGTGCCTGCTGAGATTCTATTCCTCCCAACCAAAGGAAGTGCCTGCTACCACCATCTTCTTCCCATTTCCAGGATGAGCTTTTTTCCTTCTCACCTTCCCATTCTCATTTGCCCACCATTGGATGTTTCAATGCACAGGTCTTAGGCATGCCTCTGTATTGAGCAGAGAATCCTTTATTGAGTTATAGTTAATCAACTTGCTCAAGTTTGGGGGGAAGGGGGCAAGAGAACCTTTCACGCTGCCATTCCTCTGACATCACTTTTAGGACTTTTTAAACATACTGGAGGTCCCTGTGTGTTTAACATGAATACAGCTGGGCAGCTTTTTAAAACCTAAGAACCCTAAGTTGACCAGGAGAGTAGTAAACCTGGTGGGACTACTAACTTCTCGGGGTCTCTTAAGTTAACAGAATGCTAATGTTCCTGATTCTGTCGGGCGATCCCCCTTTCATTACTATGTCTGTAGTAAGCAAGATAACAAAACATTCCTTACATTTGAATATTTCTTCTTTATAACCAATAACGACCAAAGATAAAAGAAATATTTATGTTCATTTGCAAGAAAATGTGAAGTTTTAACTGGCCTTTTTCAAATGCTTATTTTAGAAGCACTTCCACTGCTGGTAAGAGTTATTCAATCTGTTGATTCCAAGACCAAAGAAAATGTCAACGCTACAGAGAACTGCATTTCAGCAGTAGGGAAAATTATGAAGTTCAAACCTGACTGTGTGAACGTTGAAGAAGTCCTGCCGCACTGGTTGTCTTGGCTTCCACTACATGAAGATAAAGAAGAAGCTGTTCAGACTTTCAGTTATCTGTGCGATCTGATTGAAAGGTAAGAAAAGAGACAGACCTCATTTCTTTCCCCTTCACATAAAACAGTGCTTCTTGTGCACAGCCCTCAGGTCTGTAAGTTTGTAATAACACTTGCTGTCAAAATCACTAGTGCTCTGGTGCATGATTCATGCACATTGAAAGGAAATTAATTAGAAGGTGGCCGACAGGGCAAGACTGGACCGGACATACCCTGGAGCCAACCTCCCATGGTCCCTCCCCAGCCGGCCCCAGCTGGGATGGCAACGTGCCCTAAGGGCGTTTGCAGAGTGAGCAGGGTCCCTCTGGCAGGTGGGGTCCCTTGGCTTGGCATGTGGGGATCGGGCTGAAACCAGCTCTCCAATATCCCCAAGGGGTCCTGGATTACAAGAGGGCCTTTCTCAGATGATGCTTCCCAGAATTGGGCTCCCTCCTCCTCTCTGATTCCAGAGTGTATCACCCAAGAACCACCACTGCCAAGTCACCACAGCTCCGCAGCTCCTTCATTGAGTGCCTGCCCCCTGGTGGTCAGCGCGCATCATACCTACTGGACAGTTGGACGATCACTTAGCCTTTTAAATATATAGAATATTAACAAAGTATATTACAGTTAAGATGGCCTCATAATTTGATTTGGGTTATTATTTATGGAATTAATTTCAACAGATGAGGTATTACAGAATGTTGATGTTTTAAGGTTTCCTTCTAAAGTTTTCTCCCACCTTACGTATCAGTTTACTTGGCTTTAGGTTTTCTTAAAAATTTCCTTTTTATTGCAGTATAATTGAGGTAATATAATTTATTAGTAGATTAAAATTGTTACATTGTTAATACCATTATTTTGAAATTCAGGTGTTTTTGTGATATGGGCAAATATGCCAGACTGGCAATAAGATCTGGCCCTGGGTCTTGGCATTATTAATATTATTTGTGCCTATGAGTAAATATAAGAGTTACAACAACCTGGAGCCTACAGATGCTATTAAATCAAAGGCATGTTCTTTGGTGGTCTGTTTTCTAGTCCAAGTTCTCCTGAAATATTAGTCAGATCTGGGCTCTTGTCACTATTGATTATTGCTGTAACAGCCCTCCTGGAGACCACACACTCCTTACCTACATCTGCCTCTAAAGTGACCAGTTCTCCACCATGCTATTTGATCATTTTCCTTTGGAAATGACTACTACTCAAGAATTCTAGTTCGGTTCACCGTTGTATTTCTTTGTATTAAATCTGCCTGCAATTTATATCCTGGCTTATTCTCAAAAAGCTTATCTAGCATTTGAACTTTAAATTTGGTTTAGAAACCATTTTGTAGTACGTAAACGAAGTTTGTGTTAAAGAGCTGTTATTCTTGCCCTTGTTGATTTGGCTCAGTGGATAGAGTGAGTGCCAGCCTGCAGACCTAAGGGTATCAGGTTTGATTCCAGTCAAGGGTGTGTACCTCAGTTTCTGGGCTCAATCTCTAGAGGCAACCAATCGATGTGTGTCTCTCACATGATGTTTCTTTCTCTTGTGACTCTCCCCCTCCCTTTCACTCTCTCTCTGAGTATCAATGGGAAAAATACCCTTGGGTGAGGATTAACAAAAAAAAAAAAAAAGAACATGCACTTCCCAGCCCCGGCTGGGTAGCTTGATTAGCTGGAGCATTATTCTGATATACCATGGTGTGATTGTGATCACTGGTCAGGGCACATACAGTAATCAACCAATGAATGCATAAATGAATGAAACAACAAATCTGGGTTTCTCTTTCACAATCTCCTTTCCCCTCTCTAAAATTAATAAAAATGAATTAATTTAAGGGAAAAAAAAGCTGTTATTCTTGTTAATATCTTGTTTTTTGGATGGTTTTTTTGAATGTCACATTTTTAAAGTACTTAGAGCAATCTATTTTTGGCCCTTAAAACAGCCCTAAGAGATAAGCCTGTGTTTCTAATTTACATGGAAAGAAACTGAAGAGCTAATAAGTAAAATTAGCTGGCTTTTCTCCTACTGAATTGTAAAAGGTAGTTGATTTTAGTGAATGCATAATCATTCTGTAAAAAAAAACAGCTAAATTCATTAGAGGGAAGTTATACTCAAATATGAGTGCTTGAGTGGTTTCTCGTAATTTTTATTTATAATGATTTTCTTCTCTTTTGTCAGTAATCATCCAATCGTTCTTGGCCCAAACAATACCAATCTGCCCAAAATATTCAGTATAATTGCAGAAGGAGAAATGCATGAGGCAATTAAACATGAAGATCCTTGTGCCAAACGTCTGGCTAATGTAGTTCGCCAAGTACAGGTAAGCTGATTTGATTAAATTGGGGAAGGGGTTTTTGAGGTAGGGGTTCATGTTCTCTATTACAAGAAGCAAATAACCTAATGAACTAAGGAAATTTTATTTTTCTATTCTTACTCCAAGCCTCAGATAGATTATACATATATGTGTGTGTGTGTGTGTGTGTGTGTATGTTTTCATTATATATTACAACTAAAACATGTCTTACATTTGAAACATTTTGAACCTTTCAGTTGGTGCTTAACACTTACTCATTCTATATAAACTAGAGGCCCAGTGCATGAAATCCATGCATAGGAGGAGGGTTCTTCAGCCCCGCCTGCACCCTTTCTGATCTGGGACCCCTCAGGGAATGTCTGACTGCCCTCTAACAGACAGACAACCCACTGACAATCTGAGACCACTGGCTCCTAACCACTTCTGCCTGCTGGCTTGATCACCTCTAATTGCCCTCTCCTGCCAGCCTGATTGCCCCTAACCACCTCTGCCTCGGCCCCTGCCACCGTGGCTTTGTCCAAAAGTAGGACCAGATGACCAGAAAATGTCCGGTCAAGTGGGTCTAATTATCCTATTACCCTTTTATTAGTATAGATTTCCTAATACATCATGGGGGGGGGGGTGTTTACAGTGCTTAAAGCATTATGTTTTTAAATTATTTTTACTCCCTAAATTTGTGTGTGTTGGTTACTTACTAGGTAACTTACCTAGCGTAGCTTTCTCTGTGCAAAAATGAAGAAAATATACTGTGAGTGCAATGAACTTTAAAGAAATGATCCAATTTCTTGCTTTTACAATATTCATCTAACTAATCTATTTGTAAAGAAAGTACATTGTCATTATTGCCATCCACCAGATGGGTGATTATTAAAATATTTTTGAATGATCATTGATTGCACTTGATCTAAATCTCTGAAAACGTTTTTTTCCCCTAGACTTCTGGAGGATTGTGGACTGAATGCATATCACACCTCAGTCCTGAGCATCAGGCGGCCATACAGGAGCTCCTGAATTCTGCTTGAAGGACCTTAAGATCACCACCAGAAAACTGACTCCAAATAAACGTTTACCCTTTTGTTTAGGTTTCTTTGTTTTGTTTTTGAGCAAAAGAGAGCAGTAGAGTTGTGTGTAGGCCATTCTTCTGCAAAGCCACAACAGCAGGAAAAGAAGCACTGGTTTCAAATGGCTATCATACCACTGAAGAAGTCCCCATAAGCCCTCCAGTAGCACTGAAGAATATTTTTCTATTGGTATAGCCCACCCATCTGAAGGTGAAAGGGAAATTAAATTCACTTCCTCATTAGACATAAGGAAATTTAAGATCATCAGCTTTAAGATCTGTTACTCAACATAGATGTATATTAAAACAATTTGCTATACACCTGTAGTGTTAATTCTATTAATTGAGTGTGAGTCTTTTGTAGGGTAGAAAGAAGGTTATCCAGCAAACTAGTAGATCCAAAAATTGAGGGAAAAGCTGAAGACAAAAACAAGCACGAAGATGTCATATTTAAGGTCATGGGTTCTTTTTCCCAAAAGGCTGATGTGGTGACTCAGTTCTGAAAGCTTTTCAGCTTTCAGCTCTTGAATGTGAAGTGTGGTTGGCATGTCTGGCAGTAGTCTCTCGTTCACTCCTCAATAAACAACATTGAAATACAAAGAAGTTTGCGTAAAATTTCCATACGGTCTGGCTTTGATTCATTTGTTTTGACTGTAAGAATAATATTTTTTTAAAGTAGCAACTATGGCTCTGAATGTTTATTTTTCCCCTTATATTTTCTCTGTGCCATTCAAATTTGAAAACATTTAGTTTTTACCAACTTCCACTTTAAGCTAAGTTATGCTACATCTACTCTTCACAATTAGTGATTTTTTTAAAAACTAGGATTGTTCCAGTTAGATAAAAGATTTGGCTTATGTTTTTATTGCAAATTGTAATTGCTATAGAGCCACACACAACTTTTAAACTTAATTTTATGAGAAATATGACAAATTATTTTCTGATAAATTCAATAAAATGTGTGAATGCTTTTTCCTTTATGTATTAACCTCACAGCAGTAAATGACTTGTTTCTTTAGTTTTTCTAAAGGATCTTAATAGATTTCTGTTGAAACATCAGTGTTAACATTTTTATAGTTTGTACTAAATTTAACCGTGGTATATAAATGCATTTTATGCTTAGATCAGAATTAAAAGGTTTTTTTCTTTAAATGATTTGCATTACTTTATTAAAACTAAATCTGAAATGGAATAGAAAATACAGCCGATTATATTAAGATGGTTCACTTGGTAGCAGATACCTTTCAAATATATTTTCAGTTTTCAGCACACCATTGGCCCAGAAGCTTCTGTGTCTGGCAGAATAACGTGTTTAATCACTTCACACCATTATAGTCATTGCTTTTAGTATTTGACATTTATAATACTATTTGACATTTATAATGTGAGTGGGAACTACTTTATACCCCATACTAGAGGCCTGGTGCACAACATTTGTGCACTGGGTGATCCCTCAGCCCAGCCTGCACCCTCTTGCAGTCTGGGCTCCCTCGGGGAGCAGGCCTAACCCGGCAGGCAGACATCCCCTTAGCACTGCCACGGAGATGTGAGAGGCTCTGCCACCACCAATGCACTCGCCAGCCATGAGCCCGGCTTCTGGCTGAGCAGTGTACTCCCTATGGAGCGTTGAGCATCTGCCCCTTGGTAGTGAGTGTGCATCACAGCAATCTGTCGTTTGGTCAATTTGCATAGTAGGGTTTTATTCTATAGAGTTTTATCTTTAAAAACAATTTTGAATTTATTGGGGTGACAGTTAATAAAAATATATCTTTCAGATGTACAAGTCTATATAATACATCATACTGTATTGTGTGTTCACTACCCAAGCTGAATTTTTTTTTAAATATATTTTATTGATTTTTCACAGAGAGGAATAGAGAGCTAGAAACATCGATGAGAGAGATGCATCAACCAGTTGCCTCCTGCACACCCCCCACCGGGGATATGCCTGTAACCAATGTACATGCCCTTGACGGGAATCAAACCTGGGACGCTCTATCCACTGAGCCAAACCGGTTTTGGCACCAAGCTAAATTTTTTAATATCCACCATACCCTCATCTATCACCCCCTACTCCCTCTCCCTGTGGTAATCATACTGTTGTCTGTCTATACACCCTGTATTCTTGGTGTGAATGTGTGAAGACAACCCCTTTCTGCTTCCTTACATAGAATAGAGTCTAAAAAGCCAATCAACTGGAACAGTTGGGTTTTTTGTTTTTTTTAATTATTGCTACACTTACTAGTAAAACATGGTAGAAATAGGGCATGTCTGCCTAAGTTCAGATGGAAGTATGATCTGAAGATGACTACATTGAGTAGTGTTTGCAAAGTGCTTGTGGTTAAGAACCTCTTGGCAGCTAGTTTAAATATTAATGGGAAACTCAGAAGATGGACCACTAAACAGGGTCTGATGAGTAAATGGGCATAAGTCAATCGCAGTCTAACAATTCTAGATAGAAAAATTGGAGACAAGCTGGTGTGGCTCGGTGGTTGATAGTCAACCTATGAACTAGGAAATCATGGATTCTGAGGAGGTACAGAGGTATTTGAGAACACTTAATTTCTGATTCACAATAGGGATCATTTCTTGCTCCCTCCTGCAAAAGAAACTCGAGGTCTGTGACCAGTGATCAGAGGCTCTGTGCTGGCCTTCAGGGATCCCCTCGCCCCAAAGTGAAGTGCTCCCCTAAACTGCCTAATGTCAATGCAGTGAGCATCTCCAAAACCTCATCCAAGGCCAGCACTGCCTTCCCTTCTGGCATTTGGTTACCAATCGCCATCCCTTACAGCCCCACTCCCTTCCCACCTGAGGAAACCCTGGACCCACAGGCTTTCTGCTGTTTTGAAAACTTGCCTCAATTCGAAGGTAAGTAACTGCTTTTCTTTGCTTCTGCTTTATTATGCTAGGAGAGTTTGCTTCACACCTGGATATGTTTTCATTGCAAACACCTATTTTGGCCTTTTTATGAGCTATTGAGAGTGGATTACATTATTTCTAAGAAGTGACTTTTGGATGTTCCAAAGGCCTCTGACTGGTATGTGATAGAGAGTACTGGTGACGGCTCAATGAAATAGAGTGCTGGTGTGTGTGTGTGGGGGGGGGGGGGGGGGCGGGCGGGTTGGGAGGAGGAGGGAGGGAGGACATGGGTGGTAGGTGTTACTGTGGTAGCTCATCCAGGCCTTGGGGACCAATCGATGTTGATGTTTCTCATCAATGTTTCTATCCCCCACTCCCATCCTATCTCAAAGATAAATTTTTAAAAAACTTACCATCTTGCCCTAGCCGGTTTGGCTCAGTGGATAGAGAGTAGGCCTGTGGATTGAGAGGTCCAGGTTCAATTCGAGTCAAGAACACATGCCCGGGTTGTGAACTCAATCCCTAGTAGGGGGGCGTGCAGGAGGCTGCTGATCAATGATTCTCACTCATCACTATTTTTATCTCTCTTTCCCTCTCATTTCTGCTCTGAAATCAATAAAAAAATATTTTTAAAAAAACTTACCATCTTAACCATAAGGTCCCAGTTTGGTCGTGTGAAGTAGTACATTCACATTGTTATGCAGTAACATCTAAGCATGGGGTACATGGATTGAAGCTGCCTTCCACACTAGTTTTCAACTTGTCAGGGCCTACGTGGAACAGGTGCTCGCTAAATTGATTGAGTGGAAGGGTGAGAGGAAAATAGAAGACTGAATTAAAATGAATAAATGCATGTTTTTTTCATGCAGACAGAAGCATGCATTAGAAAAAGCATAGAATTTGAAGTCAGACCCATGTGGATTTGAACTGCACATGTATTCTTTACTAAGTGTGCATTGGAAAATGTACTTGGCATTGTGGTTTTTCTACCTCGGTGGAAAATGGAAAATGCCTACTCTGCAGGGTTGCTCTGAGAATTCAGTGAGGACAGGAATGCAAAGGCCTGGGAAACAAGCTGTCCCAGAGACAGCTTATGCCTATGGAACCACGGCGAGCCTGCTTCCAATACTGTTTACTTATAAGACCTGCAAGTTGACACTCAGCAATGTCTATTAAATTATTTTATTGTTACTAATTTATGCATTAGACAGCTAAAAAATGTTTTGCTCTTTTACCTTAAAATGTGTGTGAAATGTCATTTTAATTATACATTTTAAAGATTCATCATCCCTGAGTTTTGCTAATCCTATATAATAAAAAGCTAATATACAAATAGACCGAACAGCAGAACAATGAACAATTGAACAATTGAATAACCAGTCGCTATGATGTGTGCTGACCACCAGTGGGCGTTGGCCACAGCAGGATGGTGGAGCAGGTGAGCAGGGGTGCCAGACCAAGGCAGGGTGCCAGTCACTGTCATCGGGGCAAGCCTCTGGTGATTACTGAACATTTTTTGCTCCCATGCTCCATGGTTCTGCCCAGCACTCACACCTGGTGCCAGTGCCTGGGGTTGGTCCCAATCACTCAGTGCCATCTGCACTCCACCTCCCCCTGCTCCTGAGGGTGATCAGGGTAGTGGCCGCCACTCTCACCCCTTGACAGCGCAGGCCCTGCTCGCTCCACGCCATCAGCGGGTGTGAGTGGGGCTGGGGCCATCAGCGTGTGGGAGCAGAGGTGGCAGGAGTAGGGCTGCTGGCAGACAGGGGACCAGGGGTGTGGTGGGAGGAGCCGGGAGGGGCATGGAGGATGGGCCGAGACCTGCCCCTGTGCCTACTGCAGCCTCGCAGCCCAGTTTCTTTCAAGATGTACAAATTTGTGCATTGGGCCCCTAGTAGGAGTAATAGCCACCCCACAAATGAGTGGAAGATAATATTACCATTTTTTGCTAATTGAAGCTACCAGACATTTGTATTATGAGCACCTTGTGTATGGTTTTTATGCTTATTTGGGGGTGATATTTTCGGTTATTTAAAATGTCTTTGGAGAAAAGTGTGAGAACCTTGAGGGGGCAGCAGAGAAACATCACAGCTTAAAAAGTTA